TGACAGCATGACATAACATGACATCACGATTTCGCACCGAGAGTCACGTGACACCGTGATGTAAGCAATTTTCATAACCCCTAGTCGAGTGCTCGGGTTCATGACAATCAGCACCGCCAAACATTAGGGTAACGGCTCATGTCAATTACATATTATAATAGCCCAACTCTAAGAATATCTGAAGCTCAGCCCAAGCTTTTGCTTTCCAAACCCTAGCCGCCTAGAACATGACTGTGATGAACACTGGCGGTATCAGATCACGTGGCCGCTTGTTTATATTGCGAGTTGAGGAGATATCGATAGCTGTCTCTTTCCTTTATTTTTTCTGCATCTGCTATTAGGGGAAAACTAATGGATGTTTCCGCAAGCTTTCAACGTTAGGGGCTATTTCGTAACACTATTTCTTGAAAGTAGAAGAAAAAATGTTGCAAGACCCATTTTACATTATTGAGGCACCCAAATATTTTTTCGTTGTTGCTGAACTGCATCCGAAAGATGTCCCTGAGAATGGAAGTACTGAAATTACCAAATGCGACTTATTAATATGACGTTACATAGAACTGCACGTGTGTGCGGAAGGAATACAAAAAAAAATATTTTAGTGACCTCAGAGAGACAGCCGAACGTTGGCAGTCGCTGTAAGTCTCACACGAGCGTCGTTCTCAAGTTATTGCCCAAGTTTCGACTCCCTCCGTACTTTGCTTAAAGGAGCTATAAAAATATTTCTATACATCACTAAATACTACTCAGGATCACTCCCTAACGTTAATAACTGCTTGAACTTGGCTTTGCTATTTTTTCTAGGCAATGGCAGTCGCCAAAAAATTCGAGAAATATGAGCATCGTTCATCCTCTCAACTCGGAGCCAGAAGCGGCCATGTGGCCTGGTGCCTATCTTATGCCGCCAACGTTAATAATATCCCCGCGCTGGGGATTTAAAGGAAGAGAACGCGTGCGGAGCTCCAGGTAATGTTAGAGTTCGGCTATTCTCATCACCGCAGTGGTTGGACACGAGCCACTACCCAAGTGTCCACCGAGGTATTGACTGTTACGAGTCGATGTACGGTGCTCACGCAGTCCTCCTGTCCAATCCACGAGCTGCGCTCGACTGTCGTCAGGCGGTGGTTTCGATCCTACAATTGCAACATCAATCTTTGGGAAGGCAAGACTAAAAGAAATAGTCTCATTTAATCCTCGCAATTTCACCGCGACAAAGAAGCGTCTGAATCAGTGGCAGCCTGTGCGAGTATACTTGGGCCAGACTAGGACCAGTACGTCTCGGAAAAGTCATGAACATTCCAACCCGATGTCGTTTTATGACACATCTAAACTTCACGGGGTGCAAAATAAAAGCAATGACGGGTTGCGGTTTTAAAAGCATAATTTGGTGTAAAGGTTCATCTTCCCTGCATTCTTGGCGCAGACCAAAAAGCGTGACTCCGGAAACTACTTTGCTAGCCAAAAAGCTGTTACCAAAAAGCACGTACTTGTCGTGCCAGGCGCTCGCGCCGTTCCTAGTCAAAAGCGGCTGACTCGCAACTAAAGGGTCGTGGGTTCGAATCCCGCCTAAAATTCTTAATTTTTTTTCTTTAAGGCAAAATAATTACTTTCAAAAGTGAAATCATTTGAGACATACGGCGACCTTTAATTCGCATTACATGTCATGTTTTAATCACTCTCATTTCACGCGTGATGTCACGTTTCACTTGAGCATTGTGGGTTGCTTGAAATTCTTGCGCGAGGGTATGTAGCTCTGACGTCATGAACCTATCGACCAATCAGGATTTTCCAGTCACGCCACTGACATCGGCTCTTCTGCGACATGAGCTCCTTAACGCTACCGAGTTAAAATCACCAGTTCGCAAAGGCGATGCTCATTTGCAAATTAAATTGACCGGCATCTTGTCAAGAACAAACCTCAACAGCCAGGCTATGCCAGCTTATTCTGCATAAGAAAATGTTCACTTGGGCAAGCGCTATTTTGGGCCATTCGATCTGAGTGCGAAGGTGCGTATAGATTAGAGTGAACAATTGCGATTCCTCCTTGCTGCATGATTAGTGGCATGCATGCGGTGCTGAGTGTAAACAATGTTTAGTAAGAACAACACGCATTTGGATTGCCGCTCGGTGTTTCTATAAAAAATAGACAGAAAGGAATTATCCTAAAATGTTTGTTACATTTTGAAAATTTCATTGCTTTTATCTCAGTTGTGTCGTCGTCATATACATATATATTGTGAAGTGTATTTCGTAAACCTTATTTCATAATTAGCATGAGCACCGAGGTGCTCATTTCATAATTTTATGCGATGTAATTAATTCTTTAGTTCAAGGACACAATCACGATTTCATTTTTAACACTGCGACACAAAGTTGTACCAATCACGGGTATTTTAGGCGACCTACTACACTTTGCGACAACATTTTATACCGTGTAAATAGATCAGCTTGAACTTTCGAATTTTACTTAAACACGAAGAAAGCACAATAAAATACAGTATAGTTCTAAATTTGAAGCTGATCTATTTACAGGTATGTACCAGCCAGCTCAACTCCTTTACTCTTGTACTTTAACATTTCGATTCAGGTAAAATATATGTTACTGGTAAACAAAGGGATATGGAGTCGTATGAAGACGACGTTATGTATGTTAGGGTAGATTTTTTTCTACTCTTGCGTCGAAATTAAATAACTAAATTTAATATTTTTGGCACCTAAAAACAGAAGTAAATTGCATGGACGATTGAATAAACTATATAATTACTCGTTTCACGGCGTAATTTGTGTATATTGCCAAAACAACGCGAAAAATATATTCTCAATTTAGCGGTTCAAACCGGTTCGAACCGGTTCGAACCGGTTTGAACCGATATTTTTTGCTCCCCGGAACTGAACCGGAACCGAACCGAAAGCCGTGAACCCGAACCGGAACCGAACCGATAAAAATATCGGTTCGACACTCTGCTCACGACGCTCCGTATACCTCCAGAAGTCGTAAATGTGTTCGGACTGAAACCTACTTACTTCATCCACGCCATTTGCTTTGGTGAAGCATAGGTACGATGCTTTATAGAAAGTGAGGGCCATGCCACATCAGGCTGGTCAGACGCGCTGACCGATAGCAAATGAAGGCCTATGACATGAAAATGAGCGCGTGACGGTGCGCAATTTTAGTGAGTGTGCATCTTCTACCTTAACATCTCGGGCTGGGCTGACGAGAAAAAGGGAACCTTTTTAGGCTGTGACGTAAAGTTGTGACAATATACAAGTCTGCTCATAAGCCCTAATTATTCGAGTATCCAAAATACTACCAATATTCACTAAATCAGGTGGTATACAAACTAAGTAACGGTTCATTGATATAAAATTCTTGCATGTAGCTCTATCAATTATAATGAAAACAATTCCAAGGTCAATTTCCTGCAGAACACAGAACCAGCCAGTCACGGTGAACCATTGACTGATCACAGCGAAGCACGAAGTTTGGATCATAAAATCTAAAAGAAAAAAAAAAGCGACGTGCACGGGGAGGGTGAACAGCTGAAATGACCTGCTAATCGTCCCTGAGCACATCGAATTTCTTAGTCTAATCCTATCTTTGCTCAATTTCTGGGATTTGGTATTGTTGACCATCCTCTGTTCTTTCGTGACATGCAGGAAAGCGAATTCACAGCTCTTTTTTCGGAGTGAATACATAGTCACATACAGCTTAAGAAATGCAGGGCGCAGGTTAGTGTGACCGCAGGTCTTTCTCGGGGATTCGTACGTCGGTGTTCTTATTTGTGAATGCAGCAATTTTATTAGCTGTCGAACGATACTGAGATGCCCTGGATTCGCCAGGCCGTGCGATTTTTGCGCCATCTGTGACTGCACCACAGAAGCTATTTCCGCAATAGATTATACGGATGACAGTCAGATGACCCGCTCACGGACGCCACCCACAGAAAAGCGTAGAAATAGCTATAATACAAGCTAACAAATATATTTTTCTATGCAGTTTCCCACGCAGTCAGTGAAATTGTGTTCCTCATTAAAAAACCATGCAATGTCCACTTTCCCGCAGAGCACATGAAGAGCCATTCGGTGTAATCTACGGTGTGCTGAGTCACTGAGCTTCATGTTTCACCATGTTCAACCATGCTTCACAGCGCAGATTGTTTTTTTTTTTTTTTCTGGTCGATGCCTATTATGATCCTCGTCATTCGCCGAGCTTGCTTTGCAGATAAGAGCGATTGGCTCTCCGATGAAACTTAGCGGGAAGAAAGAGGCTTCAGATTTCTGCGAGACCTTAAAGGGGCACTGACACATCAAAATCATAATTTTTTTTATTATCCGAAACGATTGAAAACGATGCCGGGACATTACCCTCAAAATTTGAAATTTGGGAATTCAGTATTTGTGAAGTAAAAAAACAATTTCCAAATGCCGAATTCGAAGTTCCCGCGCGATCGGCACCGGTGCCTTGACGTCAAAAATTGCGGAGACCTGAGAGTCGACTTCCTTTCACCACTCCCGGCTGTTGCCATGGCGACCCAAAGCGAGGAGGAAAGGAGCGAGCGCCCGCGTTGAGGCGGACCGGTTTTGAGCGGTGTCGCCTGTTTTCCGTTGGAGGATACAAATCCAGGAGACGGCACCACAACGAACTCCCGATTTTTGGTATTTCAAAAAGAAGGGCCGTAGTGCGTTCGCAATTGCGTTAAAAAACATGTTTTAGGATTGCCGTAATTAAATGTTATAGAGATGTCGCCTACAAAGCTTCTAAATTTCCTGATTTTTGACGTCACCGATCAAAAGAAGCGAGGAGGCGAGAGGCGGGAAAATCAAACGCCAAAAATAAAAAGGCGCGCGCGCGCGCGGGAAAATTTTTTTTCGCGATGCGGTTTTTTTTGCGTGTCTATGACTGCAACTTGCATCGTTTTAGACAATAAAAATAAATACGACCTTTGGGGTGTCAGTGCCCCTTTAAACGCAGATTAGACATGTCTGGGATGAAGCTTTACCTCAGTGCGACCGAGTTGTTTCCCGAGTAGTTGAGGAGCAACGAGCAGAACCTCGAAGTGGACGCCTCTGTCCAGCTCCTCGCTCATGGCGTTTGCTTCCTCGATCCGCGGCAACACTTCCACCAGATCCCGATTGAGCAACGCCGTCTCTGGACAAAACAAAACATGTTTCACATATGGAGGGCGTGGTATTAGGGTTGTGGGCCTTACCGAAAAAAAGTAACGAAACAGGTTACTCGTTACTTTCAAATAAAAGGAACGCGTTACTGACATTCGTTACTTCAAAATAGAAGGAACGCGTTACCGTTACCGATAAAAAGTAACACCCTTGACTTTTGCGTTACCTTTTTTAAATCGTGAATTAACGCGTTTTACAGTTTTGACGATACAGGTATGCATAAGCTCCATATTTCAAGAAACATTATGGCCATGCAGAAACTGAACATAACTACTTTATCTTTTTACGGTTTCACCTAAATGAGTACAAAACAAAACGAAAAAAAGCCACAAAAATAACCGAATTCACATAATTCGGCGCCTAAAAATGCGAAAAAAACTTGAAGTTCAATTTCTTTTAGAGTTTTGGTAAAAAGAAGTAACAAGTAACGAAGCTACGTTACCCGTTGCTTAAAATAAGTAGCGTTAGTTGGTTACCCGTTACTCTTTTGAAACATGAACGAGTACGTTACTACGTTAACGAAAAAAGCAGTGTGTTACCCATAACTCCCGTTGCTTATAACGCGTTACTGCCAACACTACCTAATATCGATTTTAGTTTGTGAATCTCCTGATAATTACGCCATAGTCTGCGCGCTATGAGACTCGCCTCTTGCCGTTTGGTCACACTGGTTCGTATGATTTTCCATGTTTCTAGAGGTTTACGTTTGGTTCACACTATAAGGATATCCGCTTTTCTTCATTCCTTTTGTTTTCCTGGAAGCAGCCATTTTTGGCGATAGTTCAACCGCCCCCTTGTGAGTTAAGTCTACACATCGTGGACGGAGAATGTCTTTGTCTGGAGACTTCATCAATGGCAGAGCAACTAAACAAATACAGGATTGGCATTAACGTAAACCCATAATTCTCCGGCAACTAGTTCACGTGTAGCGAATTGCGAAAATACATGCGGCCACTTTTCTTTGAGCCGAAGCATCGAATCATGCAAGTTAAAGTAGCAGCCGTCTACTTGCCGTTAATAGCATGCTGCTGATGCGCAGGTTTTATTTTTATTCTTTAATAAATTAGTGCAGACGCTCGCAGGGAAATACTTCCACGTGCGTCGGCGAGCAAGTGCGTGCGTGGCCGAGCGGTTACCGCGCTTGTCTGTCGCACGGAAGGTATAGGTTCAACTTCAGTCAGCAGACAGTTCTTTTATTTATTCTTTCAACTTGGCCTTCTCATAAGTTCGAGAACATTCTCGTCTGATCGAGTTCCGAATGTTCTACGCACCAAAAGTTCTACGGCGAATGATCCAGAAACCTAGGAAGGTACATAAGGGACTCCGCATGGCGAGCGGAGTCAGTCTCGCCCCAGCGTACGATCCGGCTGTTACGCCGTCATTGACGCCCGCGACGCTCTACTGTTATCGCCTGTTTCATTTTTGTTTTTGGCACACGTTCGCCCCATTAAACGTTTAGTTAGTCCAGTTACCGTCGCTTCGTTCATTGTCATTCGTGGCAGTTTGGTGGAGGTGCTGGGTATCGCTGTTGATGCACGTGGAGCGTACACCTACGAAGACATCCCGGCCAAGTGAACTACTCAGCCATGGAAGACTACCCTTCGCTGAAGACGCCGACGCCCGAGCAAGCTGTCGTACCAAAAAACAACCTCCGAAACTCGGACCCCTGCCTCAGACATAAAAGAAGACCACGGCGATGACCACACCACCCGTCGTTGTCCTACCCGTCGCTGCCCGTACGCCCGCGTCCTTCCATGGGGAACCTAATGAAGACATCGAGCACTGGCTACCACAGCACGAGCGAGTGGCCCAGCACAACCGATGATCGGACGAACAGCGCCTGCAGCATTTTCACTTCGCGCTCGAGGGAACGGCCAGGCACTGGTTTGAGAATCACGAGACTTCGTTGATCTCGTGAACCGCCTGCAAGAATGAGCTGAGACGGACGTTCACAAACCTGTATCGACGGGAGAGGGCCGAGGACCTTTCTCGAATGAGGACACATGGCGCAAACGAGACCATCACCAGTTTCTTCGAGGATGTTCTGCACCTCGTCGCTCTCGCCGACCTTCAAGCCACCGACAAAAAGTTGAGGATCCTGATGCGAGGTGTAAGGGATGATATCTTGGGAGGCCTCGTCCGCAACCCGCCGACCACCGTAAAAAGCTTCGTCACGGAGGCGCGCAACATCGAGCAGGCCCTCCATGCGCACGCTTCCCACTACCAACGACATTCAGGCGTCGCTGCATCCACCCTGTTTAGTGGCTAAACCTCCCCTGTAACCCCGGACATCCGCGACACTATCCGGGACGTCGTTCGCGAGGAACTCAGCAGGTTGCTGCCAGCCTCGAGTTGTTCAGTCACAATCTCCATCGCCGAGATTGTGCGCGAAGAAGCCAAACGGGCGGTCCAACCTGAAATTTCCATCAACATGACGACGCCAGGAGTACCGAAGTTGAGCTACGCCGCCGTGGGTCGACGACTGCCGCAAGCGCCCCGCCAGGCCCCGGAGCCACCCCGAAGAGGCACCCAAACGTCGCAGTATCATCAGCGTTAAGAGGAACAAGCTCTGTACGTCCGCCCGGAGCGATCCTCGAAGAGGAAGACTGACGTGTGGCGAACGGCCGACCGACGCCCGCTCTGCTACTACTCCGGGGAAACCAACCAAATTTATTGTGGATGCACCTACCGCCGACTTGGACTGCGTGGGTTCCACCCGAACGACCCACGCTCTAGGTACGGCGGACGCCCTCACGAAATCCAGAAGTACCTTCGACGTTCCCCATCCTCAACATCACCTTTCTGCCGTGAATCCCGCTCACCGTCACCCAGACGTTCAGCGTTTCCAGGGCCCCGACCCCGCCGAGAGAGCCTGTCTCCCCCGCGTCGCCGGGAAAACTAAGCGCGGCAACGCCTGGAGGTTGCGTTGCCGAAGACGACCGAAGTAAAGAGCCTTCAAGAACAACGGAGCACTCCTACTCTCCCGACGCTGAGCATCGCAACGACGCTCCTGTTTTGGTGTCCAACAACCTAAACGTTATTATCCACGGCCACGAGGAATCAGCACTCATGCACACCGGAGCAGACTACTCAGTCTTAAGTGGGACGCCCTCTCGCCGCCTGCGAAAAGTGACAACGCAGTGGGCAGGCCCTCAGATACGAAGCGCCGGTGGGCACCTTATCACACCAGCTGGGAGATGCACTGCTCGCGTCGAGATCCACGTTGAAACGTCTCTGTCAAGTTCGTCGTTCTGCAAGACTTTTCGAGGGACGCTATCCTCAGAATTGACTTTCTTTGTGAGTATGGCGCCGTCATCGACCGAGGGGCAAACCAGTTGACGTTGCGAAAGCCTGCTCTGTCTTCGGTGGAGACCAGCACGACGTCAATCGATGATCCGAGTTGTTTCCAACCATGTGAACCTTGCGCCGCGGTCGAGAGTTTTTCTAACCGTCATAACAAACGCAGCCATGCACGGTGAAGCTTTTCTGGAAGGCAGCGTCCAACTGCTCCCTGAAAGAAGAATTGGCGTCGCATGAGGCGTAACGGATCTCCAAAAAGGACGCACAAATGTTCTCGTGACAAACTTTCGAGGGGAGCCCGCAGCACCTAACGAAGGGTACCACCGTGGGCCACGTCGAGGAGCTTCAGGTGCCAGCCGTGGTCACCGCAATCGCTGAGAAACATTGTCGTCCCAGCAGAAGAGCACGTCTCCACCGCAGCTCGACATCGACTCCGAGCTCCCGGCCCTTAAGCGCCGGCAACTGGTTGATCTCCTGGCCGAATACAGTGACCGTGTTACCACGTCGTCGTAAGTTCGCCAAACACCAATGGCGAAACGTCGCATTGTTACCGACGACGACGCACTCCCTGTCCACCAGTCGCCGTACAGAGTTTCCTTAAAAAGAAGGAAGGTGATTCAAAATAAAGTCCAGGAAATGCTCAATGACGACATCAGTCAACCCTCAAGAAGTCCGTGGGTCTCCCCAGTCGTCCTTGTGAAGAAGAAGGGCGGAACGCTGAGTTTCTGCGTAGACTATCGTCGAGATGAACGCCTTGAAAAAGAAGAACATGTATCCGCTTCCCCGTATTGATTATACGCTAGACTGACTGCGCCACTCCCGATAGTTTTCGTCGTTGGACCTGAGAAGTGGCTACTGGGAAATTGAAGTCGACGAACGCGACCGCGAGAAAACTGACTTCGTCACTCTCGACGGGCTGTACGAGCTCAAAGTGGTGCCGTTCGGACTTCGTACAGCACCGGCTACGTTCCAGCGTGTGATGGACACGATGCTGGCAGGTCTAAAATTGCAGAGCTGCCTCGTCTACCTGGACGATGTCGTGGTATTCTTTCGAAGAGCACCGGAGACGACTTCGAACCGTGCTTCAAGCCATCAAGAGCGCCGACCTGTCACTTAAGCAAACAAAGTGTCGGTTCGCCTATGGGGAACTAAAGTTTCTTGGCCACGTCGGGAACAACAAAGGTGTTTTTCCTGATCCTCAGAAGTCCGCGCCCTAGATGCATTTACTCCGCCGTCTGACAAAAAGACCATGAGAAGATCTCTCAGGCTCTGTGCCGACTGCAGGCGCTTTGTTCGAGACTTCGCCAAGCTGTCCGCACCGCTGACGCACCTTAAAATGGACGCTGTAAAGTTCGAGTGGACAGAAGAACACCAGCGGTCATTCGACGAGCTGAAACGAAGACACTCGACGCCCCCAATTCTTGGCCATTTCGACCAGTTCGCTGAAACAGAGATCTACGCCGACGCCAGTAACATCGTACTGGGTGTGGTGCTAGTCCAAATGCAGGACGGGGCAGGGCGAGTCATGGCATACGCAAGTCGGACGCTGTCTAACGCGGAAAGGAGCTACCCAACGACTGAAAAGGAGTGCCTCGCTGTCGTCTGGGCAATAACACAGTTTCGCCCATAATTTTATGCAAGTGCTTTTCGCGTGGTCACAGACCACCACTCGCTCTGCTGGCTGGCGAATCTGAAGGACCCCTCCGGACGCCTCGCCCGCTGGAGCCTACGGCTGCAGGAGTCCGACATGACCGTGGTTTCCAAGTCCGGCCGGAAGCACAACGACGCTAACTGCCTTTCAAGGGCCCCAGTCGAGGCCAGTCCTGCCTGCACCAAAGACGACGACGATGAGTATTTCCTCGGCGCCTTGAATGTCAGCGACATGGCAGCTCTCAAACTAGACGACCCTGAGCTGCGAGCACTGATTGAGCACATAGAGGGACAAGAAAGCGCCGTTCCCCGCGTTCTCGTACGAACACTGCCAACTTTCTCTATCCGACAAGGTGTGCTTTACAAGGAGAACTTCAATAACAACAACACGGCGTGGCTGTTGGTGACCTCTTCCAGTTTTCGAGAGGAAATATTTCACGCCAGCCACGGAAGACCCGACGGCGGGACACCTTGGCTGCAGCAGGACTCTTGCCAGGATACGCGAAAAGTACTACTGGCCCAAGTTTGCGAAGACAATCCACCACTACACTCGATCTTGCCACGAGTGCCGACGACGGAAGAAACCAGCGACGACACCGGCGGCACTTCTTCAGCCTATGGCGCCGCCATCTGCCCCATTCCAGCAAATCAAAATGAATTTACTTGAACCATATCCACCATCGACGCAAGGAAACCAATAAATAATCATTGCAAGCGATTATCTCACATGGTAAGCCGAAACTAAAGCGCTTCTATCACGTACGGCTGTTGAAGTCGCCAAGTTTTCCATTGAGTCCATTGTCCTCCGGCACGGCGCCCCCGAAGTCCTCATAACCAACCGTGGGTCATCGTTGATGGCCCAGCTGATGCAGGAGATCCTCCGTTTGAGCCACACAACCACCGGCGAACCACAGCGTACCATCCTCAGACTAATGGGCTGACGGAACACCTAAACAAAACCATCGCCGACATGATCTTCATGTACGTCGACGTGGAGCACAAGACATGGGACGAGGTGTTGCCGTACGTCACATTTGCCCACAACACGGCCGTACAAGAGGCCACTGGTGTGACACCCTTTCAGATGGTGCATGGACGCAAGGTAATGGCAATGCTGCACGCTATGTGACCCCACGAAACGGTTGTCGACGGAAGCGACGACGCCCAGGTGGTTGCTCAACGAGCAGAAGTCCGTCAGCTCGCCGGACTTCGGATTGAAGCCCAGCAACGTGTCGACACTGGCCGCTATAACTTTCGTCGTCGCGATGTCCACTTCCAGCCCGGAGACAGGGTGTGGGTGTGGACACCGATTCACCGCCGTAGTCTCAGCGAGAAACTCCTGAAGAGCTAATTTGGACCCTACAAAGTGCTTCGTCGACTCAGGGATCTGAACAACAATGTGATGCCCGACGGAACACGCACTTCATCACACCGCCCTCCGCGACCGGAAGTCGTCCACGTCGTGCGCCTCAAGCCGTACTACGATCGATAGGACTGTGAATTGTGTTTTGTAATACGCTCGATAGGTTTGTGTTGCGCAAGTCTACGTAGTCTTCCATTATTTTTGTTCGTTGTGCTGTTTTGTTTCCAGGCACGTCGCATCGGGACGATGCGCTTTTAAAGGGGGGAGTATTGCTACGCGCGTCGGCGAGCAAGCGTGTGCGTGGCCGAGCGGTGGCCGGGCGGTTACCGCGCTTGAGTGTCGCACGGAAGGTGTAGGTTCGATTCCAGTCAGCGGACTGTTCTTTTATTTATTCTTTCGGCTTGGTCTTCTCATAAGTTCGAGAACATTCTCATCTGATTGAGTTCCGAATGCTCTACGCACCGAAAGTTGTACGCCGAATGATCCAGAAACCTACGAGGGTACATAAGGAACTTCGCATGGCGAGCGGAGTCAGCCTCGCTCCAGCGTACGATCCCGCTCTTACGTCGACATCGACGCCCGCGAAGCTCAACTATTATCATCTTTTTCATATTTGTTTTTGGTGGAAGTTCGCCCCATTAAACGTTTAGTTCCTTGAGTTACCATCGTCTCATTCATTGTCATTCGTGAAAATACCGCACTAATTGCTCTAAATGTTTTGTTTTGTTTTTAAATTCATGTGGGATTGTATAAATGTTTGTGTATTTCGAAGGGCGGCAACAATTGAAACTCCGCTAAAGTCCTTGGCAGCTCAAGGAAAGCAGGGTGCTGCCTTTTATGGTCAGGTGTATTTGTGTATGATTTGTTTTTCAGAGCTTCTATCCGATAATGCTTTAACTTTATTGGCCGAGCAAGAATAATAACGCGCTTCGGGCTCGCCACGCCATGCGTCCTTTAAGCTGTAAGTCGCCATAGGCCATTTGGGCGAGTTCAATACGGCATAGCCCTTATGAGCGCGCACTAACTTTAATAAATAAAATGCCTAAGTAGACTTGCTGAGTTGATATTGCGCCAAGTTATAGTTTGACCTGTCGCTCACATGCAAACATGCAGAGACGTCGGCTCTCAGTATAAGTATGAAAGACAAGTCTCTAGCTATAAACGACACGAGACAATTTTATTTTCAACTAATTGGTATAAACTCAATTTCTAGCTCAGAATTGCTTCATCATACTTATATATGCATATAAAATTGCAGAACTTCGTGTTTGTTGCTGTTTATGCACGACACCAACTGGCAATATGAAGTTTATTATTTTCGCCGACTTTAGTTTGATGACAGGATAACCGTTTTGTAATGCACGGATCAATTTTTCTGTATAGATTGCTTGGGTCAAATTTGTAAAGAAGTAAGGCGTGTAAAGCTGAACGATGCGTATTTACATTTTGCTCTTACGTGATGTGTGATGAAATAGAACTCTTTTATATTTACACCTACTACTTCTACAGTAGTATACATATTAGCCGAGAGTGGCTGCTGTCGGCTACCGTCTACCCGATAAAGTAGTGATTACCCACCCTTCTTATAAGATTTACCTTTATAATACTTCTGTATAAATTGAAACGCAGTGGCGGTTATCTAATGAATATTTACTGACCAATATTTTATATCCATCTGAAGGTGTGAACGATTTGGCAAGACCTTAGGATTTAACACCCGTCTTGCTTCGGCCACGCCGTAATACAGTCTTTAATATACTTTTTTTTGTAAATCTTTTATTTACTAAGTTTGCGAGGAAAGAAAAAAAAATAAACAATCGCTATCAATGTTCTTTGCAACCATTACTGGAATGAAAAATACAATTGAAAACAATGACGCACGATAAAAATCTAGCACGCTATTGCCCTACAAAGTTGGAGAAAATTGACACAAGGTTCTCGGAAAAAATCTCGTTCTGTCCAAAACCGAAGGGGCCCGTTCCTGACCACAAAATTCTATCGACGATCTCAATACCCATTGAGGTCAATAGACTTATTAAAGCAATGTTTAAGATTACAAAAAAGTAATACGAATGATATTCAGTTACCGATGGAGTCATCCTCGTTGAATTTGATCCCAGCCTTGGATGCAATCTCCTCCTGCGCTGATTCGTAGGTGACATCCGGATACTTGGTCGTGTCGTGCCTGTCGGCCTGTCTCGGGTTCACGAACACGTACAACTGGGTCTGGCCAAACACTATCCTGTTTCCAGTAGAGAAAAGCATAAACCAAATCACTCTTCTTTCTACGGATGATCATACAGGGTATCTACGTAACGTTAGCCGTGGTTTAAAATATTTTAATGCATTTTATGAAGACGAAACCAAAGAAGTAAGTATGTTCATTGCTTAGAGCAAGTCAAGTTTCTTTGTATTTTGGCCAATGAAATAATTAATTAAAATGAAATAATGAACTTTTGAAATATTTCATTTCGAGCAAAAGTTCTAATGACAAAGTTGTAGATCCCCCTCAGAAACATACAACTCATTGGTTTTCAACAGGAAACCTTTCCTGTTTCGTGTTAGACGGTTCTTTTGTCTTAACTAAAGACGAAAGGCGTGATTTAGATAAAATCAGGAAAAAAAAAACATTTTTGTGAAAACCCCGAGACGCGTATCTGGCAACAGCGCCCCGTTAACAGTGCTCTCTTTAGCAAGCAGAGCCTAGTTTATTCGAGCCACGGCTGAGAGTGCTGCAATACAAGACGCGCAAGCGCCAAGTCACGTGTTTTTTTTTTCGTTATTGGCGGGATTTCTTTAAGTACAGAAAAAAAGAGCCGTGTTAAAGTTTCTTAACAAAAAAAAAAAAAAAAAGACCTGAATTGGGTATATCTGAGGACGCTCTACAGCTTTGTTATTGGAACCTTCGCTCTGAATTAAATGTTTCAAACGTTCATTAAATAATTTTAGTAAGTCATTTTATTGGGCAAAATACAAAAAAAAATATCCTGACTTACTCTAGGCAATGAACGTGCTTATTTCTTTGGTTTCGGCTTGCTGAAATGCACCAAAACATGTTGAAACCTTGGCTCGGCTTGCTAGAAAATTACCCTGTGTAAAATAGCGTACAAAAACTTTGACCTTTATAATATTTAGCAGTCTCAACAGGTTTTCTGGGAGGTTTAGTTCGGAATCAATACGATACAATAGTATCACACCACTAGGGTTCAAACATATTCTGACTGTTATCTCACTAGCTGATAGTAAGATTGTAACGCTATTTCATCTAGTTACTGAGTGACAGGATAGGTTAACTTTAATATTACAGCAATATTAACGCTTGTCGTAGTAGTAATGGAAATAATCTTTACTGCTTTGATATACGTGTCAGCATATTGTTCTAGTAATCCTCATCTCTATTAACTATAAAATTGATGATACCTATTATTTTGTACAATAAGCTAAATTGTAATACAATAAGCTAAAGTGCAATTTATTAGGGTGACAAGACATTGACATGGGTATCTACCGCGCTCTGTCGAAAAGCGCGGGACGGCATTCGCGTCACATAACCAGTTATATTACTTGACGAGCATTGTTAGTACAAACACTGCGGGAGCCGTCGCGTACGTTAAGGCTTTATATGCACAAAATGTATGTTTGCACCGATACGTTAGATCACATGTAAAGTCATTATGCTCGGCAGAAGTTTTTCTTAATTGATTACACAAAGCACTACTTAAATTGTTAACTTCGAGCAAGATTAAGATAAGCATTAGACCCTTTTCTACTTTTTTAATATGCTGTCTAAGCTGGGCTCTTCTACTCTTTCTACTTAATTTACTTTGTAGTTTTGGTGCTCCGCAAGGCTACTTAATAACGAGGTTAAAGTACCGAGTAATTTAGAAATGAGAGTAGTGTTGCCAACTCAAAGATAAAAAAAAATAATAAGAAGGAATCTACAGAAGCCGCTAGAACCGACTGAATTTCAGACGCCGCGGAAGGATGTTTGATTTCTTTTTTTTCTTTTTAAGGCAATATATTGCTATCATATGTTTAGAAATAATATAATAAATTAAAAAAAAGAACGCTGTAGAAAGGCTTTTTTTTTTTTTTTTTACTCGGATCGTTTTTATGCAGAGAAGGATGTCCAATGCTGTTACCTAATTATCTTGCTGTTTTCATAAAACCCGCCAAAACACACCTCCATCTTTCCGATTTCACGGTCGCATATTCTTGCAGCTCGATGATTCACTGGCAAGATCCACACACTTTAGAAGGAGGACAATTTTATAGTAGCGGTGCCTGACTCTTTTCCCGTCACTTGGAACTTCCAGAAACCAGCCTCCAAGTTTAGAACTCTATATCTTTCTTATTACAGCGCGGCTCTTAGGCGCCCGTTTCCGGCTTCAGCGGTGTCGCCGTCGCCGTCGGTGTAACCGCGCGTTGCATCATGGGACGTTTCCCAAAATGACGCCACACGTGACGTCACCAGGGTCAGTAGGGTCACGGGTGACGTCACTCGTAACCGCGCGATGCATTGTAGGAGGTTGCCCATAAAGACATCCCACGTGACGTGACAAGGGTCACTAGGGTCACGAGTAACGTCACGAGGGTGACAAGTGACGCCAAGAGGGTGACAAGTGACGTCACAGGAGAGGAGGGAGGGAAGGGAGGGTAGGAAAGGAGTGGGAGGATGAGGGGAAGGAGGAGGAAGGGAGGAGGGGAAGAGAAAGAGAGGAGGATGGAGGAGGGGGAGGGTGGAGTTGGGGAGGAAGAGATGAAGAGGAGGAAGGAGGGGGAGGAGAGGAAAAGGAGGGGATGAGGAAGAGTAGCAACCGAGGAGGAGAAGGACGGACACACCCTCCTCTCCGTACCCTTCTCTCCTCCTCAAGAGCTGCGCTCTGATTCGGCATTACAAGAATCACAACGTCTTTCATTGTTTCTTAATTTTGTTGTACTTTATCGGATATACTTTATGTTGGAGACTTGGAAAACGCATTTCTACATTCACGCCCAAATAAGTTATAAGCACGTTTCCAATTTGCAACGGCAATAACACGGACAATTTTGCAATGACAAGGACACGGACATGCAACCGCAATGACACGGACAATTTTGCAGCGGCAATGACGTCGCTAGCGTTCGTGTCATTGGCAAAAGTTTCGCTGAAAGTAAGGAAATGTGACTACAAAATGACACTAGCTTGCAACCGAACCTAAGTTATTTGTCATGGATTGATTACAACTATAGAATGTTCTAGACTTTGGGGAAAAACGATAACCTTATTCGAACTTCTCTATTATTTCGCCACCTTCCAAATTTCAATTTCTCGCACTACAAGGCTGAAAATCGCTAAACGTATGAAGAAAGTCGTTAGTCTCAAGAGTGTTTAACATCATAAGGCTGGGAGCGCCACGTTGCGCACAATGGTGAGAAATCTTTTAAACTTAATCAAAATTTAAAAAAAAGCAGCATTATGTTATTCGTGAGGAAGTGCTACTTTATTTAAAAAGGCAACATCTTGAGGACGCTTTTAATCTTTTCTCACAACCAGGAAATGCAGTACTTCCATTTCTAGAACAAATATATTGTAGGCATATAGACGGCACTTTGGTCGCCGCTTTGATATTCGTAAATAATTAGCAAATATCAACACTATTTTAAACTAAAGACCGTATAATGAAATAATCTGATATTCATCTGTTCAGAAGACAACTTTGACTTTTTTTGTCTCAGCACCTTCGACTTTGTGTCTGAGATGAAAAATACAATGCATACATGCATGCTTCTCAGTCTCAAGAATGTCTGTATGTCTCCTTTACCGCACCTTGCATTTAACATCTGCCATTCATATTTCATATAGGTTATCAACTGGAGAGAAGAGAACACGTGGTGTTTCGCTTCACTGTTCATGCAGGCTATGATGAAATCAGTGGCCACCATTTTTATATTCATAATATTCGAAAACAATATTTTGTGCTATAAATACGTACACTGCGACGGATATAACGTGTCCTTAGCTCTGCTATTGTAAGGCAGTGCCACGTTTTCAACGCTGTAACAATAAAACCGCCAAAAGACGGCCCTCTTTAGTGATCCGTAGCCTAAGCCCGTATATCTGTCGTCTTATTTCTTACTTTTATTGTGTTGCGAATGCCTTGTACACTGAAGGTTCCAAGCGGACGATTTTCTTCTTGCAAGCAAAAGGAGTGGTCTTGCATAAAGATCCTTGAGAGCTTGAACTGTTTATTATGTCTTAAAACCTTTAAACAATAAAAAAAAATTGTTTAAATTTTGTTTAGGCGCATAGTTTTTTTAGCAAGTTAAAACACTGAGGCACGTCGGACGGCTATATTCATGATGTGTGAGTTTTCGTAGACAGCGTTTTCGCCTCCGCTAAGCCATTCGGCAACGAAGAAGCCACTACTGCGCCTGCGCGCCGATGGCTTTGACTGTAGAGTTCCAGGTATTATAGAGGGCTGCGGAGAGCGTTGTGAGACGGCGAAATCTATCTAGAAAAACTCCCTGTTGACGACGTAAGAAACGCGGGACTCAGCGGATCCCCTGAATTTAGTTTTTTTTAGAATTTAGAACAGTTAGAATGATTGCGACATTTTGTGATCATTACGCACGGCGGAGAACGATTAACGGAAGGAAAATCCTGAAATAATAAGCCACCCCATACGTCTGTGAAGGTTTCAGCGACTATGGCGATCTTGTTGGATAATTAAATTTTTCGCAGATATGTATAGCTCACAACAAATTAAGAGATACCCGGTGTGAATTATAAGATAAGATGGCTTCATCTTAACGAATATTAAGCTGTGGGTGGCTATAAGGAGATTTATTGTCACATTGTTTATTGAATATAGTTCCAGATATTGTCAGAATCCCATCCAGTGCAACTTTTAAATTAATAAAGTTACAAGTATATAATTTAAGTGCGAGAGCTATGTTGAGCACACCGAATTTTAGCCTGCCTATATCAATTGAAGATCGTATTAGATGGCGCGCCTTCGAATAACGAGACGTCATTCAATTCCCCCTCTCCACACACGCAATTCAATTTTCTCTTCGTAGTTACCCGGCACTATCAATATTGCGATTCATCTTTATTCCGTAACTACAGGGTGAAACAAGGAGAGGGCAGGCTCTTTAAATCGACCGGAAAATTCGGTTTCTTAACTTATCGCGCAACGACTTTGTGCAGCGTTGCCCGTAGATGGTGCATTTTTTTTATGGAAAATTTGCGAAGAGCGAAATTACCTGGTGAAAAAGTAAAGAAAGAAAAAGGCTTAGCTCCTATGGAAACGCAGCGACGCCAGCGGCCTGCAAACAACGCGGCGCCGTTTCACACGGGAGACAAGAGATGGCGCAACAAACGCCGCCAACGAACGAGCATACGGTGCCGAGAGCCGGCCTTTTTAGCAGACGATCTTTTCGACTCAAAAGCGACGCGCGTTCCGCAGGCGGCGACAGTCGCGGAAACAAAAAAGACACGCGCGGTAACAGCAAGGAACTGCAGTTCTTGTCGGCAAAAGGGCCGGCTCTCGGCGTCGTCTGCTCGTTCGTTGGCGGCAGTTGGCGTCGCAACCGCTTACGCCATCTCTTCTCTCCCGTGCGAAACGGCGCCGTGTTGTTTGCAGACCGGTGGCGTCGCTGCATTTCCATAGGAGCTAAGCCTTTTTTTTTTTCTTTACTTTTTCTCAGGTAAGTTCGCTCTTTGCAAATTTTACGAAAAGGATGCACCATTTGTGGGCAGCGCTGCCCAAAGTCGTAGCGCGATAGGTTAAGAAACCGAATTTTTAGGTCGATTTAAACAGCCTGCCGTCTCCTTGTTTCACCCTGTATTTTCAGCGCCCAGTGCGGGAGCATGGGGTACCCTAGCAATCTCATCTAGTACAATGAAGGACTCCAAAAGCCCCACTCTTCCTCCATAAAACGCCATCACAGTCGGAAGACGCCAACTCAGCAATTAGCCCCGAACCCTATACCGAACGTCCTTCAGCGAATTGATTGGACGCGAAGCCCAGCCGAGCACTGACGAAGCACTTGTGTCCAATCGTTGTCTTTGCTCGATTTCACTCTGATGACGTCAAGATTGTAATGAACGGGCTTTTATTATTCTAGGTGCTTTTGTGTAGGCATTTTCTCACCTGTCGTTGTGATGCAACGCAACGGAAGAGGTGACAGGGTCGCCGTTGACCAGAATCCGTGCTTCTGTGCTGGCCCTGTCCAGAGTCACTTCGGTGTCGTTTCTTTTTAGTATGGCGTGTTTGTTTTGAATCCTATACAGAGAGCAGAAGGGAACGTCTTAAGAATGCTGTGTTAGTGAGCTCTGAACAAATCAAGAATATCTACATTGCGATAACCCGCTTCGTGTGTTATACTGTAAACCCTTGTTATCTCAAAGCCCCCCAAAAAAGTAAAAGTTATGAGACAAGCGGCTATTTCAAAACAACGAGCTATAAAAATATTTCAAATTGCTATCTTGCTTTGTAAATATTTCATCTATTCTGGATATTGCAAAATAACAACTTAAATTTATTACGTGATTTGATGTTTTTGAAAAACAGACGCAATTTGCAGCAGCAACGATCGCGTCTCGCGGCACTTCCTTATACTTGCTTGATTTTGTTTTCAAGAGGGAGGAGGTGTTTCACGAAAAGCTTCGAAAAGCACACGCCATCGTGTGGCAAGGCTGATCAGCCGGAACCTACCAGTCGTCATATGCTCCTTGTCCAACGTTAATTTCCTTATTTAGGAAACTCTACCTACTGCATGGTCGCAAAACATCAACATGTATTTCTCTTACAATGCGGTAAGGAATGGCGAAGTTTACGTGCTCAATATGTTCTGCGAGCACAAAAAACGTTAGAGACCTTGCGCTCGAGCTATCAAAGCAAGCCCTACAAAAATGAATATCTAAAGCCACATGCCTTACTCGTCTCTCAAAATTCGCATTAAAAACGCATTGTTTTTATATCCACATGTTTGTACTCAAAACGGAAATAATATCCGTGCACCAGCCTGTGCGGATAGCAAATTGTCTTCTGCTTGCGTAGGAGCGGTGACGTCAATACAACGCCGAGCTCTGAATGGCTTTGATTAAAATGATAGTGGGTAGACCTCAATGCTATGGGCTTTAAGGTCTACCCACTGTTTTTTTTTTTTTTTCTTTTTTCGATCATCCAATAAGAGCTCGGTGTTCTGACATAGTCGCAACCCCTGTGAAAGAAGCACACGAACGTTCGCTCCGCATACGAACTCACCCTACGCCGAGAAGCGTAATATCAGCGTCTGCCTTGCCGACGGTAGCGACGCCTTTCTGAAGCACGTGCACTATCCTGCCCGAAAGCAGCGGGTCCATGTTCACGTTGGTCAGGTGGGGCAGCGCCTTCTTTTCTTCCTCGACGATCAACCGCTCGGCGCTCTGGAATCAACCACAAAGGTTGGACCACCCTTTAAGTAAAGTCAAGACCGACTTTAACCCCAAGTAGACTTGGTTTCGAGAATTTTCGAGAGCTGGCGCTATTTAAGGGATAATTGCTGGAACGTGCTAAATAAACTCAAAGCATATATACCTAGATTTGCCTGAAAATTTTTTTTTTTGTTTTGTATTTGATCGTCCGGTCTTTTTCTTGAAACGCATGAAACGCCAAGAGCAGTTATCAAGGCGAGTAAGGTAGCATAGGGCGCACTACGTCTTGGTTTTTGTTGTTTCCGGCGATTTATACTTTTTATCATATGAACCACCTAGCCAAAATTACTGCTTTGAATCTTCCCGTTACTCCAGCATATAGCTGGAAATCCTGGTCCACCTCACCTGCACTCTTTTTTTTTGGCTTCTTGAATATATGATTTTAATAAAAGCTATTGCCATATACAAATTTAATCACGTTGCTGTTTTTGTTGATACACTTGCTTAAGCTGAGCAAGGAGAAACTGGGATTACTTTACGTATCTCACTACTGTCACTTCGTCGAAAGATATAGAATAACGTTGAATGCGAGCACACAAAAAAGATGTATATGCTTCTCATTGCCGGGGAGCCAGTTCATCGTGATAGCCGTGTCATAAAGAGATTTGTGGAAAACTTAAACGACTGAGACATATCATTTTTAGAAATTATAATTGCGTCAGGACTACTGCCACGTCAAAATAAACCAACAGGTTTTTAAAGCTGAGATATTGTAATTCCGAATAATTTAAAGCGGACAACCCTGACAGGCATATAGATCTAAAAGGCCCTCTGAGAGGCAACGATTAAAATAACCGATAGTGGTCTCACTAACCCTTCCGCAATAAATAAAACATCCTGACACAGAAAATAATAAACTGTAGCTAAATTTGTAGAGAAAACGGACTCGTGTCCCCCTCTCCCGCGCAAATATAATAAAGACGATTGCAGAAAACAATCAAACAAATATTTAAATAGCCGCCACTTTGTTACCTACCATTATTTCAGAATACAATCGTGCCGAAAGACATAATACTCCAACACAGAATAACGGTGACTGCATGTCTCTACCCCTTTCCTTTAAAGTTTTGGCAGACAAGGAGAACCACTTTTCAATTCTTCACTTTACAGAATGTTGCCTCTCGGAATTCATTTAGGTTGTGTCTTTCTGCGCGTGATGGAGGAAGAAAGGAATATCAAGAATTAACTTCTCTTTTGATACTGCCAAATTGGTGTGTTTCGAAGAACCTATTTCGTGTCACGATGTTATATGCCTTGGAAACATTTTAATCAGCCCAATAATGCAATATTTTTCTTGCAGTATTCATTAAGTTTCAATCACCTCAGAGTCTTGGAGAATAAAAAAAACATAACGGAAGAAAATAATGACTTGCCAAAGAACGAGTTTCGAAAATGGAGTTTAAATTTTTATGAATCGAACATTTAAATCCACGCACCTGCTTCCTTGTTGCGTTCTTGAGCTTCTCTTCGTAGGACTGCCGCATGAGAGTCATCTGAATGTCGTTCTCCTTGATCACTGCTTTCATCTCGTCTTCCCACTTCTGTTTCAGCTGGCTCACTTCTGCAAGGCGCACATACGTAAAAAGGGACGTCTATGGCCGCTGGTTGAGTTCAGATTCCCATGAAAATGAGTGAACCATCGAGTCGCTCAAGCTAAATGACAATACTTTGTCTTTTTAATGTTATACTATAGAAGTTTACATACATATCTCTTAATATGTACCTCAACGAGTTTGGTCATCTCTTTGATAACGTAAAGAGTATTCTGAACGGTTTATTCCTTTCTCCGTATGCATAAAGGTCTTGGCTTTTCGAGAAAAAAAAAACAAAAAAAAAAACGATGATCAGGTGAGGAATCGACTAAATTCACCTCTTAATGCAGACAGCCCCGCCATTTTGACCAGACACAAAGCTTGGCAATGGATGAAGACAGCCGAGATAGATAGAGAAAGAGAAGTGTTGAAAAGAAAGGAAGACTGTTCGACTTTTGGACACCACTGGTCGCCTCTTCTGCTTTCGGCATACAGAAAGAGAAGGAGGAGTCGAATAGAGAAACACAAACTGGCACGAAAACATTTTTCCGTCATTGCTGATGTTGTCGGTCAAATGTTGTTTAAATTTACGAAATATCTTGCAATTAAATAACGAGACATGTTCAGCTGTCCAGCTGTCGAAAATTTTCTTCCTAGGTCAGATACAGAATGTATATATAATGTTTTTACTTTTTATAGTGTCGTAATGTGTCAAGTGAAACGATATGTGACATTTCAATGTCGTCTTTATCACCATGTCATAGGCAATGAATGAACTCCGACATACGTATTTCCTCGCAAATGTGGACGCACGCAGAATGTCGGCAATTCCTGTGTTTTGTGTCGGTTTACGTTACATTCCATAGAAACAGGTTCCGTTAAATAAAAAAAAATTAAGAAAAAGGTATTTTTTTAACGTAATTCTAAAGCTTTAGCAAGTTTTGATGTATTGCAACGACAGGAAGCTAAGTAGTCCAGGTAAAAGGCACCGAGAGGAAGGACGGCTCAACGCACTGGGTAAGGTCTCACAAGCAGAACCTGCAATTTCCGATTGAACAAAAAACCAATAAGAGAATTTTACAGTTCACTCCGGAACAAAAATATAAATAATATATCCTTTGCTGAAAAAACGCTTAAAGTACAGGCGAGCAGCTGGATGTTTACCATGTTGCTACTCAACCCAAGCCTGAAGTCTGAAATAGAAACTTAAATGTAAAAGGGACAAGGTACTTTTCTTCCCCGTTTCCTGCCTCTTATACGTTTAAGCCTCTGTTCCATACTCCAGTCTCGGGTTAAGTTGCAACATGGTTTCCACTGCCTTTTCGTTCCGTCCAAAATATTGTTCTGCTTCGTTTTTCTCATTTGTTTTTGTTTTTTTCCGACACCCTGGATGCACTGGGTTTCACCCTCAAATAATACCGGAGTAATACAATTCTTTCGCTTATGAATGTGATATTTCTTATAAAACATTTTTAGCCTGCAGTGCCATTATTTCGTGCAGCCTTCTTTACTTAAATACAGATTGAGCCAAATAAACAGCTAAACTTCCAGTGACCGAACCGTGGGTCCTCGAGTAATCAGTCTATGAAACAAAAACAAAAAAAGAACTATTTGTAAAAAAAAAACCATTTGTTCGGCAAATGAAAAAAAAAAACACAAGAAAAACGTGTAAACGATCATCTAACGCTTTGCTAGTTTATGTGGCCTTTTTTTTTGATAAAATATAAGTTATGGTTGCAGGTTTTCACGGGGTAGATTTTCGAGCTTCTTTTACCTCACAAGCGTGTTGCACCTACACAAAAGTTATATTTTCCACATATAAATATCTTAAAAATATATCTAAGGCATATAAATGAAAAGAAATATCTCACCGCTGTCCGTAAGACCGGCTCTGAGAACACTGTCGGCACTTCCGCGGGCTAGCTTCTTGCGTAAGGCTTCATTTTCCTGACGTAGGTCACGGACCAGCTTGTCCGTGGGGTCTTCGTTTACCCGAACCAGGTTTCTGATTTCTTTTGTGCGCTCCGCTAGGTACCAAAAGGAGACGGAATTAGACAACTTTGAACTTTGCTTCATACAAGACTAAAACATATTTTCTTCCATATGTTAATTTATCTCTTCTATGCTGTGCAATTAAGCAACTGAATCCATGACTCGCTCACAGATATAACTGCTTACAGTTAACCAATGGCGTTCATAACTAATAAAATATCATCAGCTGTTTATAGAGTCTTAGAAAATAAAGTTACAAGATTCAAGCTCCTAACAGTTTTATTTGTTACAATTAATATAAAAGGCATGTCGAAACAACTAGTGCTACTTGCTGCGTGACGATTCTCCAGTTCGATGCCTTTACTTGGATCAAGGAAAGGGCGTACCACATTCAATGTCCAACTGGCAGCTCGCAAGACATTCTAAGTTATCAGCAACGTTAACCTTAACTAGCATCAACTTATGAAGTGTTTCGCCAGCTACAGCTCTTAACGAAAAAGCGACGGCTTTTAGCTCGCTCATTATCATAACACAAATTATGTGCACCGTCTTGGAATCATAATGAACGAGAAGCTTTCTTGGCTCCTTGCGTAATATAAAGAACTAGACATTGCCGATTGTTGTATTGTGTCCGTTATGTCACCCTGTTTAGTGCAAAGTAGCACAATAGCCGCCCACAAGCAACGTTACTAGATTACCTCAGTTGTGGAACTCCTGCGGAAGGGAGTACCGCCCTCACTCACCTCAAGCCGCTTGCCGTCGTTCGAAGCGCCATCTAGATTTTCGTTTCATAACAGTGCGTTTCATAGAGCCTGCATAGAGCAGAGCTGAAACGCAATCTAGACGCAGTACTTCGAAACGTACGTATCCCATTGAATAGACTGCAGTTACCAAAGCAGCCGCCAGGCGGGTCGAGCGACGGCAGGTGAGTCGTGGTGAGTGAGGGGGGAGGGGGTCAAAATGACGCCAAGTGAGCTGGACCTGCTATTGTCAGTTTGCCAATGCAAAGGTATCGCCAAACTGCCCTCTGGGCTGGCCATTCTAGTTTCTAAAAACCAATTCGGATGTCTACTAAATATTGAGATTTTAATCACCTACCGCATGTCTTAAAAAGAGCCCTAGCCCGTCTTGCCTCCCTAACTCAGTATCCACAAGAAAAAAATAATTATACCGAGCGTGTGAAATGGCGAGAAAACTTATTTCAATAAATGGAAGTAGTCATTCAGAATATCTCACAAAATAAGAACTAACCTGTCCGATAGAATATATATATTTCTCACAAGAAACATTAAAAATTGTGACACAACTACTGCGCAAGCATACGGCACCTAGGTGTTGTAACAATCTTGGAAACACTATGGATCTGCTTTATAGAAGCCGGTTAAAAACGAGAGGGAGTATACAAATAAGGGCAATCTTAGTGGTGACACATCTATCTTTTGTTTTTAATGAAATTTTATATTAGGTAGCAAACATCTCTAAATACAGGAACGGACCTTAGTTTCTCCAGATATTTTTTTTTGTGTGATAACAAATTGCGTCTCAGAGACGGTGGAAACAACTTTACTAATTAGGCTTTCGTGCAGCGATGATTCCAATATGATTAACAAATAAAGCATTCCAATTTTCCAATATTTTTATATAACTCACGCAAAGTGTTTTAAGATAATTAGCTAGATCAGTGGCATCACTAGAGGGGGAGGGGGGTGGGGCGGACCGCCCCGGGTGCAGCGCTCCGGGGGGTGCAGCTGCACAGTGAAAGGGGAGGGGGGGATCGCGGCACGCCACGAGAGCGCTGACCCTAGTGACGCCATGCAGCTATATATATTTTATGTAATTATACTTATAAAAATGACAAACATGTCTTCTTGAGCAACTATTCTGTATTGAAGCATTATTCGGTTAACCGTTTATTAATTTTAAAGAATTACGTCTTTAAGTTGAACCTTTCTCTTCCTTTCTTTTTGCTGAATAAGTAGTTCATTTGTGTGTACTTAGAACAAAACATGAAGCATTCTATACTAAGTGTTTTTTTTTTTGCCTTGCACCCGGAATTGTTTTTATAATTCGTACGATTGACACTTGACGGTCATTTATTCTAAATACGCAAAACTATGTTGCATTATCTTGATTTAAATTAAAATAAATACACACATTACAATGGCTATGTTCCAGGCGATTACCGTTAGATGGTTTCTGGTGTAATAACGAGTGGTAATCGAGAATCACATGCCACAGCACCATGAGAAATTAAACAACGCGGGTTTTTTTTTTTTGTCAGTGATGTGGCTGATAGTGTCCATGAAAACTGAATCTTGCCGCGCGTTAGACCTTTGTGGTGTTGTAGCGCTATAGAGAGGAACAATTCTCAAAGGAGTGGGGCGGGTAGGCGGAGGAGGTTAACTGGGCTTAAAAAGCCCGTCATCCCCCCCCCACCCCCTTTAAGAAGAAAGAAAACGAGCTGACTGGGTTTATAAGCCTCCCACCCCCATTCTGCATCAAAGGGGTGCTGTGCTCCTTTGTGTATGGCTATGTTCATTGGGCTACCTCTGTAGGGTAGCACTCAAACGCGGGTAGATGTCTAAAAAATAGTTTCATTAATTCCTCTAAGCATCGGAGGACAAAAAGTGGCTGTTCGGCGTTTTTAGTTCACTTGATATATTTAAATGTAAATTCCTAGCTTATAACATAAACACATCTACCTATATTTGGTCTAAAAAAAATTACATGCGGACAAAAAATATGCTTTTACATAAAGAGGTAGAAACACGTATTTACGCGCACAGCCGGTGTGCTCATCTTTTGCAGTAAATAACTTCAATAATAACACAGAGGAGTTCCAGACCAGGTTACCGAAAATCTCTGCGTGTGAAAAATATAACGGCGTCTCCCCTGCGGTTGCGCCTAGCCCAACTCGCGTTTGGGATTAGCGCATTGTGACGATGCTATTTCTTTGCGTCCAAGGTTGAAATGCGCTGCTTTGAAACTCTGAATTGGGAGAAGCTCATCAATCTTTGGAAATGGTACCTGGTTGCAGTTGAGGTGTCCTAATGCTATTGGATCGTGGGAAAGTAACGCCAAGCTCCCCGCACGGTCACCATTTTATTCATGGCATAAGCAGTTTCTCCTTTACATGTTCATTCTTGGTGAGCCGGTCAAACTTCGCTGGGGGCGGATTACTTTATAAAGTAGTTTCCTTGATACCGAGACTTTTTTCATCCACACACAGGCGAAACAAGCCCACGTCTCCGCACCTCCCCCCCCCCTCGGAGCCGGTGCTTGACGGCCTTGGAAACTAATTTTCTCTGTTTAAATACGGAAGGACAATGACACAATTGTAAGATGTCTGTAAAGAGAAGTACTGATGAGTAAACCGCATGCATATCGACAACGACGCCTTTTTGGCGTGGAATACTTTCAGTACAATGATTCTCCATAGCATTAGTGGTGCGACTGGTTCAGAACAACCCCTTCGAAACTTCATAGATTTGAATGGACCGATATAGCGATTGCCATGGCAACTGAGACTGATCAGCTAATCACGTTGCGAGGCTTGGTCGTTTGTATTTTAGTATATGCTTGTGTACGGCTAGTGGGCATGGAAGGCATTAACGCTACTTTCCCAAGATCCAGTGAATGTATGGTATCCTAAATAATATTAGTTTTCCATTACTTTACATGTCTTTTATGAAACAAAATATCAAGCATAACGCAATGTGCGACCGTTTTCGAACTTTGCAGGATTTTGTCTTATAAAATATTCATATCACGTGGTTGAACGTATCATGCAATATTTACTTTACCAACACCAATAAAATTATAAGAATGTGGGGTATTTTAAAAAAAAAACGGTTGTTGACATGTTAACATGCAAACACGAGATCCATATCAAAAAATCTAACAGTTCTGACGGCAATTCCTTTGGCATTTTATATTATATGCTTTTCCATTGTCATAGAAAAATAATATCTTGCATTCCGCGTTATCTGAAGGAGATACAGCCTCTCTACTGAGCTATTATTTTATATATGCCTGGGTTTTCCGCTACCCGTTGTATAAGCGTCCCCTGATGTGCAGCAGTGTTTCCAAGCACCAGAGGTATCACTTGCGCGGCGCTGCAACGCTGGTCCCATGACGCTACATAGATTTTCACTTCACTGTTTCTTGAGACACAGCCTGCGATCGTTTTTCCCTTGCATGAGCTGAATACTTCGTAAGCACTTTCGGCGTTCCTATACCGTGTTTTACCTTACAATGGACTCTAAATGAAGCTAAAAGCCGTCCAAGTCAATGCAATGCTCCGTTGGTGTTTCGTGACCTTCGAAAGAAGCTAAGTGCCGCAACCTTTCTAATACCATAGAAAGGTTGCGAAAGGAGCATATAACCAACCAAGTAGAACAGCCCAAGAACTGAACACGCCAAAAGTTCAGTTTTCACGGGAAATATCAACCACATCGCTAATTAAATATCACACAGCTCAGAGGCTTTTCCTCTGGTTCTTTAGTGTACCCGAACGTAAAAGTCGAACAAGTGCGGTTATTGTGGCAGGCATGCAGTGATGAACTACCATTTAACGATAATCGGCTACAACATATACCAAGTTAATTGTGTACATTTCTAATCAAAACTAGCATCAAAATACTGCCGCATATTTTTTTGCAGATCACGAAATATCGCTCTTCAAGACTTCAATGAATAAAGTGCGATGAAAATTGAGGGTAATCAATCTTTAATTGCCGCACAAAAAACAATATAATCATTTGTTTTTGATTATTGAAAATTGTAGAGACACAATACAAAAACTGCAGACAACTGTAGAGAGCATAGAGAGTATAAAATGCTTTGCATAAAAAAAACTTGAACTCAAAGACGTAATTTTGGAATGACTTAAAAATTCACCGAAAAATGCCCCCTAAATAAAAGTTTGCTCAGAAATTCAACTGTGACATTTAATTTCTTTGTAAATGAAACTCAAATAAAATAAGTTAGCGCATTATAGTGTAACAGTTTGCGTCCGTTATATATGAAAATATTGACGGCACAAGAAGTTATATTAATTTTTTCCATTGCCTCAACGTTTCGTAAACGCGAAATTTCGGATATTGTTTCGCTCTCCTCTCGCACGTAATGTATTGTTGAAAAAAAAATTATGCAAAACGTATCTCATTTTTGTTGTCTGGACATAATTTGCTCCCTATTAAAAAAATATTAGAAAAAAAAGTATATAACATTACTGGGATTGCCTGCATCTGAAGACAACCTCAAGATATATATTTTAAGAAACAATTATATTCACTGAAGCTTGCTTTACCTTTTTTAATTTACAATAGATGTAAGTAATTCAAGGCGCCTCATATTTACAAATACAACTTTAAAATATAATAAAAATGCTTTCGAACTTTATTTTGGAGATGTTGATGTTGTACACGCGCCTGAACTGTGAAAGGCAAGACTAAGGGGTCCTTGCTTGAGCACGACAGAAGTAAGAACTCAGCCCCAAAAGCTTGAACTCACGTCAAAATTTATAGTATTATTATTATTCAAAATAAAATGTTTCGGAACTTTTTTTTATTTCATCCAATACAAACCTTAAAGACGACTTTCGAAAAGTTTGTCCAGAAAGCGTGGCTGCTGTTTTCGAATTTCTGTCTTTTTTAGCATTGCAAATTTATAAAGACGTCTTATGAGATTTACCCCAAAAAACGTGAAGAACTCCAGGCTTTTTGTCTTCATCTTTAGTGGTACATTTGAAAGGAGTCTGAGCATTCAGGAATACGTAACTTCCACGGTGTTCAAAACGTGGTGAAGTTTTTGCAGCCAACGCACATCTATTACATATAACATATGTTTAAGTGGAGGTTATTCAGGAAATTCTAATTCATTGCAAATATATAACCCTGCTCAGGTAGTTCCCTTATATGACCTATGTTTAATATATAAAATATTTTATAAACTTCTATATAATTTAAGCTCCATTTTTATTTGCCAGATATGATTTCACCTCATGCCGGGCGACATATAGTAATGGTTCTCTGCAATTTTTTTTTTTTTTTTTGGCCACAAATAACCTGAAATATGCTCAAAAACCAAGATATTATTTTTGGGAATTATTGTGCGCTTGAGATTATTCAAATCACAACGAAAAAATTGAGGTTCGTTGTGATTTTATTGTTGTAAAGGAAGCTTCAAAATCATTAAACATCGAAAGTCATAAAAGAGAAGATTGTTATAGTCTGTAACAAGTGCAAATAATATTCAAGCATCAATCTCGATTCGTACTAATTGTTCTAATGTGCATTTACTTGCTGGTATAGAACAAAAATTACAATCGGTTTTTCTCCATTATTATCGGCAGATAAAAATCTTCCTTCCTGACTCATCACATATCACGATAAGATTGACATATATACACCTAAGACAATTTATTGATCTTGCCGACGCTCTACGACTTTGTTTTGTGTATACACCGAAGATAAAGTTTATAATCGGCAACCCCAAAATGCAAATTACTTTCTACACCTACCTAAAAAAATGCTGAAGGGAAGACACTTCCACAGTGCGACATGGTTACTTAATTCTGAGAAATTATTTAAAAAAAAGACAGAAAACCACGGCTTACCGTAACGAAGTGTGGAAAGCGTTTCTTCGTAATGGATGTCAGCCGGACTGATGCTTGCCAGCTAAATTCAGATAAATATATGGGGTCGTTTGGGAATAATGAATCTGAATGAATGAAGCTGTGACAAAAACTTACCATGATTGTTTTACTGTTTCCTCCTAGGGCGTTCATGAGCAACCTTGTCAGTGTGGACTCTCTATAAGGCACTGAATAAAAAATAGATAAAAAAATTAACTTAGCTAAGGAATGCACCCAACTTTTTCTTTATTGCAGGTTTTAGCAAAATATAGGAAAGTGTCATGAATAACGCTGCTTTTTTATATAATTTTTTTCTTTGTTAATTTTAGCATACTTCACCATAGTCTGAAGAAATCGAACAAAACACTTATATACATACCAAGAAATGTTTAGAACGTTTCGACACCACCCATATCTAATTGATTTCTACCTTCGTGTTTGGCAGTCTTGCGTAATTTTAGTCACAGGAACTATACAATCGAAATCCAAATGCCATCTGATCAGAATTGACACTTGTCAATAATAAGGTGTGCTGACTCAGTGCTAACGTAAGTATAAAAGATTTAGTTCAAGCATGCAGAATACCCCGCACTTAAATACACCCTTTAAAACCACATACAGCTTGACAATTGAAAAGTTTATGCTGTTCACATTAAATCTACTGAGCTTTCAGAATTTTATTTGAAAATATTAGGTTCGTATCGCAAGTCAAATGAAGTTTATTTAATAGAGACAACTTATAATTGGGACTTTCCTCTGTCATGCGTGGGGTACGCATGACGCAGGAAAGTCCCAAGTCCCATAATTATTCCGTGTGAATTATATAACCTCTTCTTGTACTTATTGCTTTTAGTTTCCCCACCTTTTGATTTAATGCACCGTGGTGAAGCAGGGATTTGAGCGGTAATTAATAATATAAAAAGGGTTCTTAGTTTTGACTAGGGGTGTCGCGGACCTGCCCAGACTCGAGTTCGACCAAGTTCGACTTTTTCGAAAATTCAATGTGATGTCCGACAAACTTTCGATTGAAGTTCGACTTTTGTGCTCATGCGCGAAGGGGAAAAAAAAAAACAGTTGACTCCACTTGCGAAGGAGAAGTACAAGATTTGTTGAGTGTAATGGCATCACTCGTCTACATTAATATGTAACAAGAGCATTAAAAGCGCATATTTTTGCTTCTATATGGTGTAAGCATTCATAACCATTTTATAAAATGTAAAATAAACTATTTTATAAGTATTTATTTCCCGAAATTCGAAATATTCGTATTGAATCCGGGGACCACTGCCCAGAAGTCGAACTTCGTAGCAGTTCGGTGAAGGCTCGGCAAACCAGTCGAACCTTGAGGTCGAAGTCGAACTCGAAGGTTCGATGAAAGTTTGCGACACCGCTAGTGTTGACCAGTTTTATTCGCGAATGGCGATCGTCTTTTGACTTATGACTCCACAGCTTTCAGTCAACTAGGAACTTTCTAAATCTGCCATTTTCAGTTGGCGAATAAATTGGTTAACATTGAGATATTCCTGTACTTATTTGTTAGTTTTTGGTAGCTTTTCTGCTACAACACACTTTGAAATACATACACATTTTATTGGGAAATTTAAAAACGCAAGACTATCGCATGCTGGCGACCCTTCACCATAATCGGCTTTGATGTGAAAAGATATCGGTGGTGCCGATCCGTCTCAAGAAAGCAGGACCATTCTGCCTTCTTTTCGTTCTCCTTTGGAAAGCATGCGGACACTCAAAACTGATGTGTATTACAAAACAAGAGGAGCATATGACGTGTTTTAAGTAAAGCCACGTACGTTGAAACAATGACTATAGGAGGAGTTAAACAAACCTCTGAACTAAACAAGAATTTCGGTGTCAAAGTCAAGCGTGCCTTTCGTAAGGGGTTTTTAAGCTTTATTTATTTCTAACTTAGAAGAAATAGACAAAGCTTAATGGTACAGGTGGAGCAGTGTTACAACTATAGTACACATACGCGATTGGTCACCTATGAGACTCACATATTTTAAGAAATTGAAACTGCTGTTTCAGAGGAAGAAGAATGTTTATACCAACTCCGAGTTCTTCTTGTTAAAAAATGTCGCACTTTCGTCCGCACTATTTTTAAACAAACAACCATTTTTCAACATAAATTTCGATAATAAATGTTAAATTTATCTTCCATCGTTAAATGATGTTTAAATTCAGGCGCCTAATAAAGGCTCGGTTTTGCACTCTATCCACCTATGAAATAATGGATGGTACTTTATTTCTGCAACAATTGACAGATTTCGGAGTGTTAATAGTTTGAAAAAAAACGTCTGTTAAACTTTCCGCTGATAATTTGTTCTTTTACTTTTCCGGCTCGATGATATTTTAGTTAGACAAGCTCTTCACGGTAATACACCAGGCAAATACAAAAGGTTCGCGGGAAATTTAATATCACCTGACTACGCGTCACGTGGCCTATACGCCCATTGACTTTCTTCTAAAACATTTTATGTCCCGTGACCTGTCGTCACGAGATCTCTGCGTCAATTCAGTTTCCATCCTCAGTTTATCGAGGAATTTGGAACACATAAACGTTTTTCACTCCCCTAAAGGACGGTTTAATGATGTCCTAAACAATTTTAAACGGCCACACCTTAAATACTGCAGTTCAAGTTGCATAGAACTTTAAAAATAAAAAAATCGCTCCCATTTTTTTTTACCTTTTAGTACAAAAAGTTAAGTAGATTACATTTCGTGACCTCCAACTCGATGCATACACTCTAAAAAACGTTTGTGCTTCTACGTTCACGCACAACACTCGGAGAGCCAATCACTGCAACTTAGGGAGGCAGCTCGACGAATGACGATGCCGAAACATATGTTTAAAACAAAAATAACAGTCTCAGTTGTGACACTGAGCAATGCTAAACGTCACGCTTGCATTGCTTAATGTCACAACTCAGTCTGCGTTCTTTGGTCTAAACAGATGTTTCGGCATCGTCATTCGCTGAGCTACCTCCGTAAGTTGCGCTGATTGGTTCTCCGAGTGTTGTGCGTGAAAGTAGACGCACATACTTTTTTTAGGGTATAGGCCGTTTTCTAACGTAGTCGCTGAATTGAACTCTTTTGAAACGCGGTCAACTATCTGTACAGAAACAGATAAGCTCTTGGCATCTTGTTGGTTATTCCAGGCGAGGAGAGAGACGTCCAGCCCCACCTTTAAGACTCTTTCCGTTGGCTTTTTCCGCTAACGCATGAATGCAGTTTCCGAGACAGGACAGTGACTGGTTGATGGAGATGCCTTCCCGGAGACGGTCACCCGTCGTTGCAGCGCTGGACTGGCGCTCGCTGCGCTCAATGTGATTAAAAGAAATGTTTGCTTTAGAAGAGAAGCGCTGGGTTGCGTAAGCGCACAGTACTATCAATTGGTTTTCTAACATTAGTATGGAGGCTGGCACCGCACTATGGAGACGGTGTTTTAGGCTACTGTTACGATGTTACCTTATAGGCGCAATAAAAAAAAATGCGGACAAAAATTTTTTTTACCTTGAAGCGTATAATCCGCGCTTATACATTATATCTTGTTTAGAAATAATTTGTAAAAATGCGGAAGCTTATTATGATTAATGTTTATAGGTAAAGTGTCATAACTGTACTAGAATCCAATTGTTCCTCCGTTTGAATCCAATTGTTTCTCCGTTGGTGTCGCCTATACCTTTCAGGATTTCTGAAAATTCCAAATGAGTATAGTTCGATCGATCGGCATCAATCGTATATGCTGATTCCTACGTTAAGCTACATCAGTTGAGGAATAATTGTAAATGTATTGACGCCTCAATTTTAAACTCCGCCACAATTTTCTTTAGTTCGTTTATTGCTTTTGCGCCAAGTACGGTTAAATATTTTGAGGTTACGAATTTTTAGTCGAAATTTTTACGTATGGCATATATTAAGGTATGCAACATAAAAAACACAGAAAATGCAGATATAGTTTTTTTTTATTTCTCGTTCACGTTATTCTTGCTCTCTCGTCAATTAAAACGCGAACGAGAAATCTCGGGACGCCAAAGTTAATGAGGCTCAACTACAGCAGTGTTATTGCGGGCCCAAAAGTTTGACTCGGTATATGTTGGCTTCAAGTGCTAGATTGAATTGAGATGTTGATGCCTTCAGCGCGACACACTGTTTTGCCACGTGACATGTCAGTCATAATTCCGATCTTCGGTCTTGGACGTAATCTCAAGATGTCATATAAGCAAACAGCGCGCAAAAAACAGGGACAAAGTAAAAGAAGTGCACACAGGACAAGCACAGGACAAGCGCATAGGACAGTACGGGCAGCCCTCGTCCTGTGTGCACGCCTACTTTCTCCTTGTTACATCTTGTATTTTACGTTGCGTTTTATCAATAATGATGTTAAGCGTAGTATTAAAGCAAAAAAGAAAACAATTCATACAAAAAAATTATTATACACTAACATAGAAAAATACAGGGTACCGCCGACCAAAATAATGTTCGGTTGGCGGTACCAAACATTATTTTTTATTGCGAACAAACATTATTTTGGTCGCAATAGGAACTTTCCTATAGCGACCAACATAACCAGGTTATTTTGGTCGCAAAACCAAAATAACCTGGTTCTATTCCGCCACAAAAAGAAACAACCGCCGAACGCTCGCTCTGCTTCAAAATGTAGTGCTATCGTTCCGAACCGGGGGCCAAGGTTCGAGAACTGTTATCTTATTAAAATGGATAAGTAATTTCCTTTCGAAAACAAGAAAATTAATGACGTCAATTGTTGTAAAGTTGAGAAGATAAAAAACATTTTTCTATTTAAAAAAAAAAAACACTAACATTTTTTTATTGAGATAACGTAATTTCTTTAACTTTGTCACCTGGTTCGAACCACTACCTCTACATTTGGGCAAATAATTAGCGTTAAAAAAAAACCTCCTTTCATTTTGTAGGAAAACAAAAAAAGAAAAGACATAACACACGCAGTAAAAATATAGTGCTAGATTAGAATACAAGAACATCGAATCATCATGGCTCTGGAAAGAGATTTTCATGCCGTGGGGTACCGAGCTAGGGCCAGTACTTGTACCTGCATGCTGGCTCCGGCCGGATAGTTGTAGTTACGTGGCTGATGACCGGTATTAACATGACACGGCAACACCTGTCGTGTATGCGCCATTTAACCGATATGCTGTGTTCCCGCAATGCATATTATTATTGACACAAAGAATTTTGTATTAACTTTATGTTTCAATTAAAGGTTGAAGAGAAAAAAGAAAAAAAACGGCTTAGCCGAAATTCAGACTTCCCTCTGCATGAATTTATGGCATTAAAGCCGAAGACAATAGCGAACGTAATAAATACCTACACTATAACGACATAATAAAACAAAGCATAATTATGATCATGCAGTGGGACGTTCGCATTAGGAATCATACGATTAAAATAAAATGAAAATTAGGATGATGAAACTACAAATTAAAGAGAAATAAACCTACTTAGAGTCCGTTGCAACGTGAGAAGGTAGGGCCAGGTAAGGAAGGCCAGGGAGGAGGAAGCAGACGGAAGGATGGGGAGAGAAGGAAGTTTCCCCCCTCTCCTCTCCAGCGTTCCGTCTGCTTCCTCGACCACGGCCTTCCTTTCTCTCGCTCTACCTTCTTGGGGCGCAAGGGACTGTAGTCAAAATTATTTGCGGAGCCAACGCAGAAAATTACAGTCACTCCATTCTCGTGAAATTACTATAGTTTTCTAACACATAGTGAAGGGTGAAGGGGGAAAACGATATGATGTCTTTTTATCTAGCATGCGTTATCTTTCGCCACGCGTTCACGCTCGAGGCTCTTTTGATGCCGAAGCTTTATCGAGGATACGAAATTTGCACATGATGCGGGACGACTGAAACTCCATGTTGTTGTACTGGTTCTCTCGGTGACTAGGGTTCGTTCGAGTCTTGTCTATTCCCTCAACTTGGCAGCGAGACTATTCGATAATCTGGGTACGGCTTGACTAGAATAATATGAAAGCCTTTTTTTAGTTATGAACATGTGGGTCACTCGATTACAGAGCCGTTTCTCTTGTCCAATCGTAGCGTCAGCGAAAATTGTACTTTATCCTGTATTCACTGACAACGCAAGAAGGGCAAGGAGGTGTGTTCGTTGTCCCTCATCTAGTGCGAGCTTGCTACCTTCGAAATACATTCGGAGTTTCGTGATCCTCAAACGTATCATAGCCTCCTATATACTGACAAAGCCTGGCAGATCGCCGCGAAAAGCAACCACCGAAATGAAAAAAAAAAAAAAATGGTGGAGTGGCAGACAACGGATGAGAGGAGAGCCACGTGACTGGCGCCCCACTGCGGCGTCTTTGCCATAAGCCATGAGGCTGGGCGGACGTTAGATGAGGGGAAACCAGCTACGGTGCATAGTATATTTAACTATAATTCTTCAATTACCTTTTAATTACTTGTTTTACTGGTCATGATGCAAAATGCAGTATTGGCGAAAATTACCATTAAGCGCCCAACCTATGAAAAACTATTGCGAAAATGTCCTGTTTTTAGACTTAATTTGACATTTTTTTACGGTTTTCCAGTCCGCGTTAGAAATTCTTCGCAAAAAACACGCCACAGATTCATACCAAATTAGCGCTGAGAAGAGTGACATCCTGGTTATAATAATGTGGTCTCTATCCCGGCAGCGTGCCGTGCCTTTGGTGGGTGCGCAGACGACGCAAGAGACTATATGACTGAAACGACTATTTCACTCTTCTAAGTGTCATTGTGGGTGGTGCTTGTGACTTGCTCTTTGCGCGATACGCTTTTAAATTGGGATAAGAAGGAGAGACTCTATCGAGGAATGTCACAAAAAACATTACCTTACAATCAATACATGGTGAAGACAACTCTAGTTTATATTCTCACACCGCCTTTAAAACCAATCTGTTAGAATTAGAATCGAACACCCTGTATTACAATATTTATTATTGCCTAAATAATATATATAATTCAGTATAGAAACCGCAACCATCTCTATAAACTGTTTTCAACTTGATTTTTCCATTGAACAAAAACGTGCAGATTGGTTTTTGAAGTACTTATCTTTCATGACTGTACGAAGTACAATAAAATTACAATTAAAAATTATGTATTAATTTTTTGCTGCGTCTAGAAGGAATGGTTCTTAAGGCGAGTTAAAAAAGCGCGAAATTAACGCTCTACCTAGCGCAGTACAGAGAACAGCCTACACCTAGTGGTCTAAATTATTCCTCGGTGTTTCGCTTTGGCGCTCCACAAGCCGATAATTGATTTAAAACGTAAATTTCTATACCTTCTTGTATGTTGTATCACTAACCCTTATTACACAAATTACTCGCGCTAGAATACCTTATCTAGCCTCTTACTATGCTTATGCATATTTTTCAGCTTTCGTGACTATATTTGAAAATTTGCACGTCAGATAGAGCAAGGCGTAAACAATCACATTTCCTCAGATGTGGACGTTTGGCCAGAGTAAAAGAAGTATGACGCTTTATTTATAGGAAAAAAGCATTTTAATCTCCCACCAAAACCCAGCTGCCATTTATAATGTCGTTAATTTGTACTATCGCGTATAAAGTATACAGGGACCTAATTTTATATAATTAATAAAGATTAGAAAATCTCGGGCAGATCAATCTTGCGAGATCCTATGTGTGTGCATGTTATCTTCGTTTTCCAGATATAGCAGTGTGACACTGACTCAGATATTCTTGGTGACCCCTCGAGACGTGCTTGGGCTTAAGAACTTCAAAGCTCAGACATGAATGAAGTATGACGAAAGCGACTTACCTTCCTGCTAAGTCCACTAGATGTACCACAGACGTCTTGGTGGTCTCGGGCCCTGGTGACGTCTTTCCTTTCTGTACCAGCGTCAACGTGACGATCGTATGTGCTCGACTGAAAACAAAACAAACAAACAAACAGTTGGCTCGTTAACTCACGCATTAATGGTGGAAGCGAGCATTTGATATTCGTAATCTTACATAAGTAAAAGGGAATATTGCATTAATTGTCCTATTACTACTGCTTCTTATTCAGGCATATTTTTGCGGATACTGCGCGTCGAATGGGCGTTTTGTCAGATATTTTGTGACCTTGGCTAATCGGTATCCGTCTTTTTTTGAGGCTCTGGCGAATAACACATATGAAACTAATTGCATAAACTCACGGTAAATGGTGTATAAAAAAATAAGGCACGCATGAAACAGAACGGATTCTAAAATTTATTCTCAATTCGCGCATGGGGAGACCGCTATGAAATATAGACAATCTATGAATATTCGAGAGGGTTCGGACGAAGCAACCAGTGCGAGCGACTGAGAAATCAGCGCGGTCCAAGGGACTGCAGGCAAGGAATTGCACGCTATGCAAAGTTGGCATGCTTTGGCGTGCTGTAATAAAAACATCAGATACTCTTGACCCAGCAACGCCTATACATCGTTACCCCTTAATTCCGCACGCAGCCGACACTACTAGCTAATGGGTCCAATAAACAGCGTCAAAAAAGCAAGGCAATGTTCATTCCAAGTACATAATTATTCCAGCGATGATAGAACGCGTTCAAAAACATGACACTGTTTTATCTTGTTTCATAGGTCTCATCAATTCGCAATGTCAGCTGCGTCAGGGCTTAGGATCCAAGTATAGCAACGCCCGGTTGGCGTCGGTAAGCTGACACGAATACATTTGTTTATTACTGCAGGCAAATAAATCGTCTAATGTTCTAACTTTAATTGTTTTTCATTCCTGTTTGTGTTTCTAGCGTATGCTAGCTTTTCTTTAAATGTAAAATAATATGTATCAACCTAGATGAATATCCTAGCTCTTGGCAGCTGAGTAACTCTAATAATGTGTACGATGCTGCATTTAAATAAAACCCAGCTCGTTTCGCTCAAGGTTACTGCATAATAAGTTCGTAAGCAGCTTGGTCACTTCTGTTACCGTCTACGAAAAACGCTCAAGTTCGCGCAAAAACACGATTGATTACACAATTATAAAATCTTCGTCGATTTCTTGTTAAGTATAGATCAGATTTATATTTAAATGAAGGCACAACAATTTTATATGTCGTGTTATCAGTAACAACACGCTGATATTGCTAGATTGGAGAATGTTTCTATTTTGATTATCACACTATGTGTTTAAGAGGGTCACAAACTATTCGCCACTAGATTAAAAAGCTCGAAATATGCGATCGTCTAACACACACAAAAAAAAAAAAAAAAAAAAAAAAATCTTCCTAAGACAACGCTAATTTATCGCTGGGAGATGCATATAACGCAGTTCGAAGCCTTCCTAAGGGGTTGTTGCAGCTGCCTGAGGGGTTTGTCTCCTAAACGTCTTTTTACCTTGAGCAGCCAGGTTAGGTTCGAAAGATCGACAGCTTGCCATTAAAGCTTTTGCGAACGTCAGCGAAACAAATGATTGTCACAGAAAATACTGCCGTTATATAGGTTCGATTATGCACGGATGAAGAAAGAAGAGTGAATGTTTGCTCCCATTCTGTACCATTCACTACATCAAAACTCATCTCAACAATGAATACATCCCTTCTAAACCATTTATTATTAAGGCTGATGCAAGCTAATGAGCTTCATTGTGAATTAAACAAGATTTTAGTAGCGGTGTTCCGGCAGACGATCATGCAGTCTTCTCGGCCAGAGCTGTCCATAGAAGAACGCCAATGTTGCTGTCGAGCGGTTCATGAAAGCAGTCCAGCCAAATGAAAAATAACCAGATGTAGCTATTTCACTTATTCTTTCGCCAAATGTGTAGCCCGGCAGAGAAATAAAAACACAAATTGAGAAAAACCTATCAATATTTGCCCAGCTGCGAGAGTTAATATGTGTTGCCGCAGCCAGCTTAATTTTGATATAAATTTCGCACGAGTACGCTTGACATGTAGAAGGTGGATGCAATTTTTATTTCAACCTTAGCGAAAACTTTAGTCTGACAGCTGCAAGAAGAAGAACCAGCTTAATCTCGTTCCCCAGGTTTATTTTCCTTTGATTGAAACATTTGGGAAAACAACGGGCGTATATTTGGCGTCTGAAATGGAGTCTGACAGGATTAATAAAAACTCTTCAGCGGGAAGGATAAAAATGAGCACTAGTCTACCTGGTCTTGTGGCAGGTAATGTTTCTGTTTACGCTGTATGACGTGATTTGTTCCTTTTTCTGTTTCCCGACGATCAAAAATTGACCCGCAATGTATTTATCATTCATTATAAAGCAACTTCACATGCCAATTGAGCTTTGACTTTAAATTGAGTAGTGCAAACAGTCACTGGGGTCGCTACGCATAGGCAGAACACTGGTCGATTCAAAAGCTATCGTGTAAAAGGATTGACTGAAAATATTTTATCTATCCGTGGTGAATTCGACCATCACTCTTTCCCAAGGTATCAGGAGGAAAGGGCGAATGTACCTTAGAGGCGCATTCACACTACAGTATTCGACTGCGTTGCTCTAAGTTACGTGGTGATGCAAGCACCATGTAACTTGAACACTCGCCGCGCTCCGCATGTCGTATTGAAACATAGACTTTGAACTGACTGTCACGCTCCACATGAGTCGCGGATGTCGCTATGATTGGCCGTCGTTACTGGACGTAAGCCCTCATAACGCACTCAAACGTAATTAAACGCTTCCATTTGAATGGGTCTGAAGTCTGATTCAGCTATAGGCTTTGAGCTCTAACACATAATGGGGTCCTGAAGGTCAACTAGAATGAGACAACATTATTCAGGCTGACAGGATGAGATCGCAAATAGAAAGTACGCGTTAGAAGGCCTCCTCTCCCTTCTACAGTAACTAAAAATAAAAAATGGCGAAGCGCATTTTTCGGACGGCCAGCCTTCAGCCAAAACCACCTAAAAAAAAAAGGCCCGCTCATTACGTCATTGGTAGTGGGTCCCCGAACCTGCCTCAAGCGACCGACACGCAGAGTCTCGCCAAGTGTCTCCCCCGAGGGGCAGACGCGTCCGTCTTGGCGACGTTACGGGGGTAGCGTTGTGCATGTCGGGACGCGCTGCAATGCTCGCCGACAGCGCTGCTGAAGCAGGTATTACATGAGCGACAAAAACTGGCGCCGCGCGGAACGTTTTATGGCAACTTTCGCGCATGCTTCGACGTAGCAGCTCGGCATAGGTCCACGTCACAGCGTCCTGGGTTGTTGCTATGGGAATCAGCGCGCCGCGGCCGTTTTAGCCGCTCATGTGTTCCCTGCTTAACGCAAGGTAAGCGACGCTGCGCGGAGTAACTTATGGCCACGTAGAAAGATCGCTGGTCCGGTCTTCTAGGTTGCATTTCATCAGTACGCGCTCGTTACCTGCCGCCGTGCAGTGGCTGCGAGTGCCCGCTCGAAGCCCACGAGGTGCCCACGCGTTCCCGAAGGGAATAAACTAGCCGTGGTAGCGGGACAACTCAAGGACCGTCCCCATTCTTTTAATCCCGTCAGCGACCGTACTTGCGCAAGCACTCACCTGCTTGTAGCATTGCTGTTGGTGCAGGCTATACTGCGATTGGTCGTACCTTCTTCTACCCTCTCCTGGACATCTCGAAAGCTGGTTACGAGGCACCTGGTGAGGCCCTCGGCTGGTCGATGTCACCAGTTGTAGTGTGGAAATGCAGAAACAAAGATCTATGTTATGGCCAATTTTTATCTTCTAATCAATTATATTAATTTGAAGTAATGAATTACGTGAAACATTTACACGAGCTTTAAACACTCTGAAACAGGGCAATATGGTTTATAAATAAAACGCATTCGCCTCTAAGTGTAACACAATCCAAATACTAAGCTATTTCATTTGATCTTCTATCCCAGCCGGTACGTCACTGAGTTGTCCCGTTTGCAGATTATAGTTCATATTATATACCAATTTCTGCAAAATGAGATGCTCCCATCAGCTCGTATTTACCATCGTAGTAAACACCTTAACAAAGTGCATGTACTATTCACAAAAAATTAATATATTAACTTTTTTTGGCAATACAGAGTACATCGGACTTGGATGAGCTGACAGGTAAACTCGCTCTAACCACTATTCATGGCACTTTCAAATTGTTGCTCCATGACGCACTAGAATGGTAGTTTTATTTCCTATTATGTTATTCGGTTAAAAAGGGTATTTATAATTGTCCTCATTTTGTCTGTATTAGTCACGGGTTTGTGAATATGTGCGATATTCTTATGTAATCGATTTCTAATCCCAGATTCAGCGTGATCCAATTTTTAAACTTTTATTTTTTTATTTTTAATTATTACTTAACTTCTTAGTTTATCTAAAACTGCTCTCTATGTTAAGCTTCCGTCCCTGCCGCCGCGCCGAAATTTAGCGAGATACTTAGATAAATCTTCCTAGGAACATTTCATAGAAAACGTTTCTTCGGGATATTAAGCGATTATGAACCACTAAAACTGAAAAAAAGGACAACGTATGCGTGGCACTATTTAGCATTTTTTTTTACTTAATATTCATTATAATTTCAATATTGGGAACGTATACAAATTTTTTGTTTTAACTTTAACAGTTTTTTTATTAATTAAGTGAGCGTTAGACGAGAGCTCTCTTACTCGAAAATTTAGTAGACTCGGCAGATATTTGATAAGGGAATAATTGTCCAGCTAAGTAGACTAAATATCTACGAAAATGGGATTTACTTGTAATTATTCATTTTAGGGGCCATGCTGGAATTGCACTATTGACGGCAATTACTATTAGTGACCAGACCAATTTAAAAAAAAATGAGAAAATAGTAAGTTTCGATATTAATCGACAACTTGCGCGCCTTCTCGCCCGATTTAAAAATTGCGAGCAAAAAAGCGCATCAAGCTTTGCCCACAATGATGCTTCGAAGAATGGCGTAGTCGTTTAGGTCGCGTCGTCACTTGTGTTGTCGACGCACCCACCAAGGACACGCTGCCGAGATAGTCTCGAGATGATTAAAACAAAGACGTCACTCTTCCCCGTGTCATTGTGGGCAGTGTTGCGATGCTGTTTTGAAGCGCAATATATTTTCTGGGCGAAAACAATTTAAAACAAAATTTCATTTAATATCTCGAACACCATTACCTTTCTGCAAGTTCGTTAAAGTGGTCTGGCCTCTAATAGTCATTGCCGTCAGTGCTGCATTTCCAACATCACGCCGAAAATCAACAAGTAAAAAGTTAATCAATAAGGTTCAGTTAATTATTCAAATTACCGTGACGGTTACTTCCACATCAAATGTCCACCGAGCCTTATAAATACATGGTGAAGACAGGACCCGTATAACTTTCAAACCTATTCTTTAAAAAAAGAAATATACAGATTAAAGTTAAACAGGTTGTATCGTTACAATTCTTCTTGGCTGTTTCATTTTGGTTATACACTAATTTAGACTCATAAAGAAAAAAATATTTACATTACTTTTTTTGCTTCAAAGGAAATGCTTCAGTTTTTGAGTTCACAAGTCGGGCGATTTACGACGCGTGATTCTCGTCTTGTTTGTCGCCTATTTTTGTGTCAAATTCCGATGAACAGTCAAAGGCAAATATATTATGTCAAGCAGTGGGATCTGCCAACACAAAAAATAACATCGTGAAACACGATTTGACTAAATATTCCTTTCACGCAAATGAATAAAAATTAAATTATTTAATTCATTTAGTTAGGTGACCAATTACATTTAATCTGCAAAACAATGTTTATGGCCTAAAGGAATCGTGCAATATAAAATGTGCTATAAATATGTTAGTAGAATAAATCACGTGTTACAATATATTGACTAAATTGGTTTCTGAATTAACACCTGAGCTTCATAAATAAGTGTCACTTGATTTGATTGATTGAAACTATGGGATTCTTTATTGCGTGACAAATACTTGGGTGTCTGTCACCGTCGAGATCCGGAATTGTTCTTCTGTACTTGAGCTCCTTTCTCGCGCCTGTGGTTTTCTCAGCGAACCTTCTCGTCGTCTTCTCGTCGGTTCGAATTACCTTGAGGCGCCTCAGGGGGGCCTCAAGCGATATGAAGTTTAGAGGCGTTTTGGGATGGCAGGCGTGAAGCCTTGCCGAGGTCAAAGCGAACACTTTGTTGGGGATGCTTGTTAGCAGAGGAAGGGGAACTGCTTGACGTTGAAGTTGTGATAATTCAGCACGGGCGTTTTGGGGATGGCTTTATGAACATAAGCTGGTTTAAGACGGTCCAGGAAAACGACCACCTCTTTGTTTTAATGCCGACAGTAAAGCGCTTTGGACCATAATGAAAAATCTTAAAGGGCCGTCATATGGATGTTGCAAAGGGCTGCGCACAGCATTCTGCCGTGCAAAGACGTGCGAGGAAGTTGACGTTGTTCTTTTGAGCTACATGGTTTAATGGCCTGCCTCAATGCACAAAGGCTGTTTGAGTAATCAAGGGGATGAGGAATTTTTATCTGTTCGGGAAGAGCAAAATATATCTCCTGGTAATCGCAGAGTAGTCCCATAAACAAGTTCCGCGGCACTGCACGCAAGATCAGCCTTAATCGCTGTGCGAAGTCCATGCATAAAAAAAGGAAGGCTCTCTGACCAAGTTGATAATAAATCACTCGCTTTCACAGAAACCTTTTAACTGTCGTTGAAATCCTTCTACAACGCCGTTTGCTTCCGGGTGGTAGGCAGTTGTGTGAATGTGGTGAATGCCTAGGAGTTGTAATACGTTGGGAAAGAAAGACGACTGGAACTGTCTGCCCTGGTCAGTAGTGACTGTTGACGGTACTCCGTAACGACTAACTCCAGTGGACAAGAATGCTTGGGTGGCAATTTCTGCGGTGATATCCGGATTAGGCATAACTTTGTGCCATCGTGGAAAGCGATCGATACAAGTAAAATATATATCAACAACCTCCAGAAGATGGAAGAGATGGACGTTTGTCAAGGCGACCGTCTGGGGGTGTGAATGCAGCCAAGGGTGTGACCGTGTGACGACCGATCTTCGAAGTTTGGCAGCTCAAGCATGTTCGGGCCCAGCGTCTGACATCTTCATTCATGTTTGGCCACACATAGCGCGTTGAGATGGGGCGTTGCGTTGCCTTGATGATTGGATGAGAGAGCGTGTGAAGGGCATCAAAGGCTACCCAACGAAATGGTTTGACAAAGCTGAGGAGCGGGACCAAAGACATCACAGATCAGCGGTTGTGGACAATATGGCAAAGACATCTCTTCAAGCACTTGAGAGGAGGATTCCTGTAGTTGCCTCAGTTCTGCATCATTCTTCTGCGCCATAGCAAGAGCCAGCGTGAGGTCGATGGAGTGGCGCTCAGGTGTGTCGGTGTTTATGGCAATTCTCGAAAGGGCATCGGCCACTGTGTTTTGTTAGCCACTTACTAGACGTATGTCGTGCGCAAATTCTAAAATATAGCCGATTTGTCAAACCTCAAGTGCTATATACCATGTGCTACTCGATGTTAAGGTGTGTGTCGGTAAATGTCGGTTTGTGGTCGGTAAGAATAAAAAACTCGTGACTTTCCAGAAAGTAATGGAAATGTTTGATAGCAAGATAGATACCAAGAAGCTCACGGTCAAATGTACGACAACGTGTTTCAGTTTGCCACAATGTCTTTGAAAAGAAAGCAACTGGTCGCCAAGGTTCACTTAGGATCAGATAGCAGAGTAACATTCGAAAGTTCTTTTTGATGTCGGCGAACGTAATTTCGGCGGCATCATACCACAGAATTTTATCATTCTTCCTCTTTGATCCACGGAGAAGTGAGTTTAGTGGTTTGAGAGTTCTGGCGCAGTGTGGAATACATCGCCTATGAAAATTGACGAGGCCTTGGAACTCACGAAATTTCCGCACCGAAGTCGGAGGAGGGTAGTTTTCAATTGCCTCAACTTGAGACCTGAGCGGGTGAATACCATGTTGGCCCAGGTGACGTCCATGAACCAGCTCAGAAACTCCTAGTTCACATTTGGTGGCGTTGCTTGCAATTTGACATTCATCCAGTCGAGCAAAAATTGGGCGCAAGTGTTCTTCATGTTGCTTGTTTGGACTGAAGATTAGAATATCGTCGATTAGGCGAAGCAGACGTTCAATCCTTAGAGCGGTTGGTTCATAAAGTGTTGAAATGTTTGGGCCGCGTTTCCAAGACCGAATGGCATGAGTAGGTATTCGAAGATCTCGAAAGGTGTTACTACATCGGTCTTCGGCATGTCAGCCTGTTCTACGGGAATCTGTGGGTATGCTCGTACGAGGTCGATTTTTGAGAAAACGGTGGACCTGTCAATGGTGCTGGTTAAATCTTTACTGTGAGGTAAAGGATACCGATTAGGCCCGGTGGTTTTGTTCAGAGCCCGATAGTCCCCGCAAGGTCTCCAGTCACCGCTCTCTTTTGGCACAATGTGCAGAGGAGTTGAACAGTCACTGGACAATGGTCGAATAAGTCCGAGCTCCAGCATATGCTTAAACTCTTGCTTCGCAGGTTTTAGACGCTCAGTTGCAAGGCGGCGCGGGCGAGCAAACCCGGGTTGTCCGGCTGTCGTTATGGTATGCGTCACTTGGTGCTTGATGGGAGTGTCTGCGGTGCAACGAGTGGTCAAGGATGAAACGTCTGTTAAGAGCTTAGCGCATGTCGGCTCGAGGTTTGGATTGTGAATCGTCAGACTGAGAGCGGGTGAACTGAATGCAATGCCTTGGACGCGTAGGTGCGTTTCAGCATCCAGGAGTTGTTGGCTCCTCATGTCCACCATAATATTAAAGAAACGGAGGAAGTCAGCTCCAATGATTAAATGCCAAAAGTCAGTAACCAGAAATATCCACCGGAATGTTTAACGGAAATCAAGATGAAGAGTTAGGGACTTCTCTCAGTGAGTTCTGATTGGCGAGCCGTTTACCGCTCCAAAGGATGTGAAGTCGAGCAGGTTGACGCGATCCCCGGATGTTGGAGGACACCAGACTTGTACGTAGTTCAACTACTCTACTCAAGTTACTGTAGCTTACCTACTTTTCTGAGTAGTGTAGTAGCTTTCAATTACATTTTTATTTCGGTAGTCAGTATTTCCTTTAATTACTTTTTCCGAGTCACTTCTACTCAAATTACAAGTTAGTTTCTAATTTTAGCGGCAGGTTTGCTTATCAACAAACATACCTGCACAAAAACAGATATGATCTTGGAAGATCAGCTCATATTTGAAAAGGGGGGCAAGCATGTAACGTAGGGAGCGGAGGGGGGGGCGGTAGGATAATTTAGACGGTACGTAACGCCCTAAACTTTTTACGACCCCCCCCCCCCCCCCTGCAACAACTCTGCTACCAGGCGCGGGGAGCAGACAGACATGTCGCAAGTGAGGCCGTGTTACTGCGGGATTAACGTCGAAGTCTGGCGTTTATTTGTGTCCCGAAGCTGAAGGAGACCACACATTTCGACGAAGGGCATGTCCCCGCTTTTTCCCAACGTAGAAACTCCCGCCCACTACAGGAAGTGTATACATGCATTCCCACTCAAAGGCTGCAACAAAATGCAGCACCCGCTCTGAAGCTCACCTGGTGCTGCCGTACTTTGTGCCGTACTGGGCTCAGGGAGGTTTGTCACTTTTGGGTTAAGTTGGTCATATAACCCACTAAATCGATAAACTTAAAAAAGTAGATATATCTTTTTTTAATCATAATTGTTCAAGATTGGTACATATCTCCTGTGTATATTAGGTGGTATATGAAGATGTAGTATCACAAATATTAGCACTGTTTATTTTCGTGGCAAGGAACTTTTACTGCTCAATGCAAATAGTATAAAGACAAAACTATAATCATTTTTGTATTTTTTAAAGGAAGTAAGAGCTATGCTGAAAGCTGTAAAGTTTTCGAAGTCAGCTTTTTTATAGTATAATTTGTTTTTGCAACCTTACTAATAAAATTATCTTTCTAAAGAAACCGGTTAATACAGATTGATGATGGCACTCACCAAAGAATCCCTTTTTCGGATGCTCGCGAACTTTGAGGCCCTTTCTGTTTCCTTCTTTGGTCGTGAGAAGGTCGCGCACAGCCTCGTTGTAGATCTCCAACATGCTCAGTTCGACCTGGAAAAAGATGCAGCAGGCTTTCATAACGCAAAACAGGTAGTTACTGGACGCCGCACAGTGCTCACAGCAATGCATATTTAGAATTACCTGCACTTTTTGCTTTTGCACCATCCCCAGAAGGAACTAGTCGCCTTCTTTGAGACTATTATACTAATTTCATGTTTTATAAACACTGATCGTGATAGACTTCCAAACATTTATGAAGTAGTAATATTGCCGCGCGCGCAACTGGCTAAGTAGGCAGCGCGCGCGTGGCCTAACGGTTATCACGCTTGCCTCCCACGCAGAAGGCCGGGGTTCGATTCCTGGCCGCGGCTACACCTTTTTGTTGACAGTGTAATTTGATGTTCTGGTGAATTCGAAAACCGTCTTGCTGATTCGAGGTCAGAATAATCTACACGCCGAACCTTCTACGCCGATCATTCCAGAAGCCCACACGTGTACATAAGGGGCTCCGCGTGTGCGATCTGCAGTCAGTTTTCGCCCAGCGTTCGACTCTGCTGCTACGCCGACTTCGACGCCCGCGACGCTCCGTTATTATCTTTTGTACCCTTTTATTTTTGGCACAAGTTCGTCACATTAAACGTTCATTTCTTCCTGTTTATTTTTTGTTTATTGGTCACCACCTGTGACAATATCAAGGGTACAACCTAATGATTTAACGCTACCATAATCGACCTTTCTGCATAATAAACTGCAGCTTTCATTTGCACATCTCCGTTTGTGTAACATTCATACCAATAGTCAATTTACGTACAGATTTTGGAACAACAAATTTTTTTAACAGTTTTACACTATATTGAAATAAATATTGTCAAAAAGAGGGCGGGGATATCAGTAAAAAACCGAAAATACAGTATTAAGCAGTTCTGGGCAGGCATTCATGTATCGCTTGCCAATGGCTGCTTGAAAGAGAGGAACCAGACTACACCCTTTATTATAATTTAAAATAATTAAATGCACATAACTACTCTCTAAATTAGGAGACTCGAAGTGCCGATTATTGTAACACCTACATATATAGGGGACGTCAATACCCTTAATGTGCCTATAAGAAAGTGACAACGGTTTTTGTCCTACACGAAGCGCATCAAGTAGGGAACATAAAAAAAAAAATGTTGGCCCATCATTCTTTCAGTATAATTTATTGTACCAAGATCGCCTCCTTGCTTATCCTCCCTACGTTCTATTCAGTATATAGTGGGGTGAGAATTTATTCTGTACGGCTCGTGTCTTTTGGTACAATATTTGACGAATAAATTGTCTACTTTGAGGTTGCGCGACCGAAATCATCATAAATTTAGCAGAGGAAATAATGAGCAATCGGAGAGCCGTTCTCCCCGTCATCATATGGGTTCTTCGGAACAGCGGCGGACCTACATGGGGAAATGGGGGGAGGGGGGGGGGGGGAGTAGCGAAAGACAGCCTGACTGCAGTTAGCGTGTATGCGTGAGAAACGACAGCGAGAGCCTCCCTCCCGCTGTCGTTCATCACACGTACACGCCGACTGCACCAAGGTTATCGCCCCCTCTCCCTTCCACCTTGTCAGTCGCCACTGTTACGAAAAGACCCCGTGATCTTGGGGAGAGGGGCTGTCCGACTCCACATCGTTTCTTCTACTACATCGAACGTTGGCTACATCCACGTGCCCTCCGGCGACGCTCTCACTAACGTCCCACCTTCCCTCCCTCCAGCAGCCACCTTCACGAAATACCCACCTAATCGCGTTGTCGCGTCACTGTCTCGCCTCCCCAATGATGCCGCCCAGGTTCCGTTCTCGTGTGCTTTACATGCCTCTGCAGAAAGGTTCGCCTACGCACTTCCGCTTCTTTCTCCGCAGCCGCGGTCACGAAAACCCTTCACTGACTTTCTAACACACAATAAGAAACCACGCAAGCGTCGCACAGCGTCCCAGGAGCATGCGTGGCAGACGCGCCGCCCTGAACAGAGTATGCGAACGTCCGCAACGGCACGAAAGCTACAAAGCAGGCAGGGCCCCGAAATCCAAGCTGGAGATGGCCTTCCCACAACGCGGCAGCTGCCGCTGTTAATCGCAGCACACTGTGTGGTCGTTCACATTGTTCGTGCTTCTCTTTACTACTGGCATAATTATGCAAACAACCAAACTGAAAACAGCAGAGCCATTCTAAATAGTATTTTTTTATATCACATCGAATGTTGACATTATAGCGACACCTGAATTCACTCTGTAAGCAAGATGAGGTTAGCAGGGTAGCTTCATTTTAAATCGAATACAATGGTTGGGGTGGGTACTTGGATTTCTGAAATTAAACACACACACACACACACACACACACACACATATATATATATATAATAGCCCTATTTTTAGGAAGAACAAAGCAAATTTTAAAAATAAAAAAACTAGTTTTTATTTAACGAAGGAAATATTAAATGGAGCAAGGTGAAACTTAAATTTTGTGTGTTTCATTTTTGTACGAAGTTCTCTGACTTGTTATTCATACTGAAACGTTTAAAATATTTATAGATTATTCTCGTGTACATTTCTTGTATACCGAGTATGTTTTGTTACACACTTGAGAGATAAGCCAAATTGCATTAGCGAGATTAAAAAAATTCAAAACACCATGCCTTTGATATTCAATCTGGGGACATATTTGGTGCATTGTATCTCCATATTATCTTCATTTAGAGCTTCCCAAATAATTTCATCATCTAGCAGTCCTTTCCATGGCATATAGCCTGATGGAAGTTTTGTTTGATTTATATTTTGAATTAATTTTTAGGAGCTTTCAAACTTCATAAAAACGTTAGTTTAATCATATTTTGAGACTGCTTTATTAAAAAAAACATATTTTTTCAAAGTTTTTTTATAATTTACAGTAATTTTGCTTTTCTAAATGCATGATCCGAATTTCCGAATTTTTCGTTGTGTTTTCAGTAAAAGACGTCAAACGTTGGGGGAATATTATTATTCGCTCTATTAAGCATTATATTATTGTAATAAAACACATTTGAACTGAAATTTTGCTTTAAGTGCTAGTGTCAGAAAGCAAAGCCCAGCTTTATAAGTATTATTCTGCGTTTTCGCGGTTTCTTTTTAAGCTAATTCGGAAGGTCTTGAAATTTGGAGATTGAAGGATAAATACGAATCTTCAATTTTTTGCCGGCTTGTGATATTCAGTTTAGCGGATTTATCCGAAAACGCAGAACCTTACATTTTATAAGGAGAGAAAGTCAATCGAATGCATGATCGGGCAGTGGACCGAGGTAGTAGAATCTTGTTCTGCATTTGTACGCTTGTGGATTCCTAAATTAAATCAAGGATCGGAGACAAGAACCGTTTATTACGAACATTGGGAACCATAATTGATCAATAAAACTTGAAATTCTAAACAATATATGTCATAAATGCTTATTACAATAAGTATTTACATGAAACAAGCACACCATATTACAGAACACGCGCTGTTTATTTGAGGTAAGTTAATAAATACAATAAAATATGCTGGTTACACACGTTTTAGAAAGCACTTTTCACCGTCCACGTGCAGGACAACAAGGTGTGCATATTGGTCCATCCAGTTCACGAACGAGGAGTAATTTACTAGACAACACTAGCAATAGCTTCCTCGCTCACTTACCTTTTTTTTTTCTTGTACGCACAGAAACGCCGAGCTCAGGGACGAAACGGAACACTTCGAGCCAATGTCATCTCACGTTCTTGACCAGTTACTTGAATTTTGGACCAAACATGCAAAGAGCGTATCCCGTCGTGTGCACCTAGGGAAGTCCACTGTTCTTTCTTGTGTTGCCTGAATGTCTCAACGTCTTCTTTTGGTAAATTAAAAAAAAACGAAGTATCTTGTTCGTTTCTGAATTTCTTCGACGAAGCCCTGCCACGTCCTTATAAAGGTCTCGTCTCGGTAACAAACATTGTGCACTGTGGCGAGGTGCTTGTGTAACCCATCAACTCCCATCGCATGAATTCTTACCATGGCCGGATGCCAATAACAATCATTTCGCTTTATGAGAACCGCTAAATCGAAGAACAGGTATTGGTTTTTTATGTGAAATGCAGCTCCTCACAAATATAGATGACGCTTAAATAAACCGGAAGGTTGGTTTCCAGCCATTCTTTAATCCATCGAATTGCCAGCAGTGCGTACGATGAGTCGTGGCAGATGTCTTCAGACACGACGCCGAAACTCTGGGGACCTTTAGCTATTGATGCGACGCACGTGAATACCGAAAGCTGGTGTTTGTGCCAATGGTATTCTTGAACTTCAATCTGTAGTGAAACGGCACAATTCTCGGAGAATCTAAATAAAGCACGACGCGCTTCTACGTTACTTCGCTATTCACGAGCCGAATTTATCTCTTTAAAGTTTCTGAATGTAGTCACGCGTAATGAACCGAAAGGTACAATTTTGAATTTCTGCAAAAAAGACGCGTGGTTGAGTTGCCTTCTTATTTAAGTCTCCTTTCTCTACACGCAGAATATTATTTGCTCATTTTGAACATTTCCTAAAAGTTCTAAGGTGAGATTACGGGTGTTTGGGCATTCCTTGCATTTGTATCCCAAACAAGCGAGTGTGAGATCCGAACCAAGGCAGATAGATATCAGCTGCTGCTTTGTGATTGCTTCTTCGCGCAAAGAGTTCAGGGCGGAAAAACAAACTTCAAAATTCGTGCAGCACACTCACAAAAAACAAAATTTTATTTTCACCTTGCTCCACCTAATACTTCTCCAAAATACGAAAATTGTTTCTTTAGTTCAGTTTTTGTTCTTGCTAGACATAGGGCTATTATATATATAAATTTAAGTAATAAAATTTTAAATACCCACTTCGACCAGTGTTCCATTCGAAGTTAAACGGCCCAATATTTTTTTTCTGGTTCCTTGAGACGTAATCACTGAAATGTGCATTTATTAACTAAAAGCAGTCGACCAACCTAATTTGTGATTCCCGTAGGTGCGAAATACGATAAATATGTTGAGTTTCTTCCCGTTTACTTTGTAGTATATTGGTTCTCAAATCGTCAAACTTTTAATGGCGCCATGTTTTAGTGTAAGCAAGAATATTGCTGGTAATTCAACTAACATCAATTCAAACGAATAGTTCATATCCCACCGACCACATTTGCACTTACAAAACAAATCCAATGTTTTCCCCACAACGCAATGATGCACATGATACAATACTGTTGGTATTTATACAGTAAATGCAGAGCGGAATACGGTCTTGTGAAATAGTGCTCTTGGCTACCTTTCGAAAGATAAGCGATATCATATGTTAGGCGAACAATAAAAAGTAGCACAACCAACCTCGAATTGAGCGTGCTTGGAGAGGCTTCTCTTCTGCTCGATCTCTTGAAAGAGGTCTTCGCAAAGGCGAGGCACAATTCCTGAAAAAATATGCCTCTTTTTCATCGCAGTGTTAACGATATATATCGAGCACAAACGGTCGGAATCGCATTGTGGCCGACACTGGTGTTTTATTAATCAAGCGCGTCAACAGGTATACTAGGTATATAAGGAGAACGGATATACACTTCAAGCAACCTCAGTTAGCACCGAGAAGTTTCAGTGGTTTTCTCTTATGGTTTCCGTTCCTAACGTAACTCCCAGGATATGCCTCGCCGTGATTGGCAAAATTTGCCTCTGCATCGCCGTGATTGGCAGACTTTTTCTCTCCATGAAGCGGCGATTGGGCAGGCATTGTTAGTATACAGGAATCCATGGTTTATCCGATTGCAACTTCGACCAATGTGACGCTCTTGATCGCACTCGTCGCTGATAGCAATGTTTAGATCACTGCTATGATATGATTAGGTATTCCGTCAGATTCAACATATGTTTGTTTCTTAAAGTCACCTTGCATAATCAGCATGCCAAAACCAACGTTCGGAAGTGTGATTGAAGGCAACGGCAATATATGATTATTACAATACATTTTGATTGGTGCAACGTTTTTTAGATGCGCTCATCATGCTAGAGCTCTGTAGGAATGGTTTATTTGCCACTACGCTCGCATAAGTTCGAGCTCGCTGGAAAGTGACTTCGAGACCTGCTGTTATTGTAATTCGTCATAGCGATCCGTTCGCTGTTGCCATTCTGTTCTCATGACTCGGATAGAGTATCACAAATTTCAAACCAACACCTTTATAAACTTTCTTGCCAATTGAGACTAAATTCCAGAATGCGTATTCTCTTGCAAAAGTTATCAATGAATTTAACTGAGTTTCTAATGTACTCTTTATAGAATATGTGAGAAACTCAAGTGAAACTCTGATAATTGTTGTAAAGGCTATTAAGACTAGATTTTCATTTTTGAATGAATTAAATTTATAGAGAACAAAAGCACCTATCCTAACGCAAGGTGCTATAGTTCTATTATTTTTATGAACTCTCTATTTTGACCTCACCATGATGAATTAGCAAAATCATATCTCTGTCGAAGTTGATCAATATTACTCACAACTGAGAAAGTTATTCTTTCATACAGGATGATATATACGATCTGCTACGCCTACAATGTATAAACTATGTCATCGAATAATCTAAGTGTTCCATCTATAATTCTGTTGTAAAATAAATAGAAGACCGTTATATTGCTACGTCCTTCGAATGTTAAAATAATATCGAGTTTGTTAGGATCGTAATTGTTTCTGACACCAATGAGATCTCAGCCATGTTTATGCTTCCAAGGTTGGAATTAGACAGACTACCAGTAGGTTTTAAAAGCCGACAGAAGGAACTTCAAAGAGAATTGATCAGCTTGGAATCTTGTTACTTCTGTTTATAGACGACCTTAAAATCGTGAATCAAACATTCCCAATTGCTAATGTCTGCTGACGACATCCCAATCATGATGGCCGTATAATATCTAGGGACTGCTGCTTTTGGCAACTTCATATCTTAGGCATATATGGGTAATGTACAGTGAATTTTTTGTTACTAAACGCGTACGGAACAGAAGTTATATCAATGTCACGAAAGCGCGATATACTACCAGATTAACACAAACTTAAATCCGCTACCATAGCACGTGACACTGTGATTCCAGACGTTAGCATCTACTTTTCTAGCAGACTTTCATTTTATATATCCACGTTATAAACATTGCCGGTTCTTCGACTCGAACGTTCATCTGATAGCTCGCTTGTAATATGATTTCGCAAATCTTTTATATATTGTACGTCTTTTGTTTTTGCATGTTAAGTGCCAAATTTGAGTTCGGCAGTGTGGTATAAAACTGACGACTTCCGAGGCGTCAAATGTAAAATATGTTAAAAGGCGTATAATACGAATTGCTTGTGACAGATCGTTTAATAGGTGTTATGATGAATACTATTGCGCTCTTAGAGAGCTGTGTTTACAAAATATATCGAATCATAACTACAACAGCGTAAAGACAACACACACACACCACATACACCCAAGAGACACACAGCGCTGAATTACAACTCAATTGTTTTTTGTTTTGTTTTTGGTTTTTTTTTTTGGGGGGGGGGGGGAGGGGGAGTTCTGCGCGTAAGATGAGGACTGCAAAACTACATCGTATTCTTCGCCTTTGCGCGACGTGCAGCAATATTTCAACTTGCGTGATGCGCAACAAACTCCAAAAGACGAAGAATACGAATCAGGTTTGCAGTCCTCGTTCCTCAGGCAGAATGATCCCAAAATACAATTGAGTTGTATGTCAGCGCTGTATGTCTCTCGGGTGTGTGACCTGTGTGTTTGTGTTGTTGTGTTTGCGCTGTTGTTATTATGATGCTTCATCAACTCACTCAAGCTGCCATCCTCACAGTATATCGACTCGTAGACTTTCGCGTGATATTCGACTTTACGCAAATTAATACTTGGCAGCATTCACACAAACCTGTTAATATTTCTTGCTTTGCACTTGCCTGCTCGCTTAAGTAGATACGCCTCCTTAATTTACCGTTTTCTGCAATACAAGCTGTCACTTATGATCTGCATACAACTTTCATTCAACGATTTGGCCTTCCCCTCTCTGGATGCATTTGATGAATGTTTAATTCTTTCAAGTGGGACGTCACTGATGTGCTGTGCAATGTAAAACGTTTGGCAACCACTTTACAAGTAGCGTTTCTTTTACTTATTCTCTTTTATGTGGCGCTACATGAACACCTCAAGGTTCTTCCGGGTGCAACAATAACAAGCATATAAAAAATCAATACTTTTTGTATTCATTAGAGGCTGACCTAGAGTGATCGCTGACATTTTTATGATACCCATCTTACGCATACAACTGAAAAGGCAAACTGTAACGGCGAAGCATGGGCTGCAACTTTGAGACTGACAACGATGTCTATTTTTTAAGCTCGAACGAGTTACGCAGGTAAGAAGGAATGATCTATGCTACTCAGTTACTTACAATAAAGTAGGCGTATGCTTTATACTGTGATCGTTGTTTCAAATATGTGTATTAGAGTACTAGGGTACAAATCAGCCGGTTGTGGGCCTTGCTGAGAAGGTTAAAGGAGAGCGATTTTCAGGAGTTGTTTGTCGTTTTAGAATAGCGCCCCAGCTTCAACAGTTCAAAGAGAGCTAACATTTTGTGGCTTGCCATTTTTCCGTGAAAGCTATGAACGACGCGGCGTTATTCCGTTTGAACCACTGTTGTCATATCTTAAGCAGAAAGATCGTAAACCAAGAAAAGAGGAGATAGAAACTTTCTGAAAATCTACCAAAACGTCCTTTAGCCAGCAATTTTTTTTAAATGCAACCAGTTTTATTAACAAATAACAAAACCAATATTTTTTCATATATAGCCTTCAGGCTGATTTTATATTTAGGGAAACCGCATGTGAAAGACGAAATGATTCCTTGGGGTTCACTTTATTGGCCCCGACCAAAAATCATTGCGCAAGCCTGATATGATAATTAGTAATATAATCGGGTAAACATCATTAGTTATTCACGAACTAATAGCCGCAGCAGGTGCATATTAGTCACAGTAAGGAAGCCCGTCTTCATAATCCAGCACTAGGATAGCGGTCGATAGATTTTTATACGCATATTTCTATGACTCACTGCTACTTTCCCTAGAGAAAAGTAGCATTACGCTACTTTGCAAATCTCCGCGGTAAAAAAGTTGTATTTTTCTCCAAATTTCTCTCTCTCTCTCTTTTTCTTCCTTTCTGTGCAAATTAGTCTCCACAAATGCATGTCACACATGACATATCATTGGTGGCCAGGGTTACGTTTTATTTCAACTCTTTGTATTATTATGGTGGGCCTATGGATGCTAAAGTCGACGCTTAATAACATAGAACGCATTCTTAAGAGAATATTGAACTTACTAAACAATGTCAAATTTTATAATATCACTCTTTCCTTTAATTGTTGAACACTCAAACAAACCAGCTCAGAGTTATTTGTTCGAACGGTAGTTCGGTACGTATGGAGTAGTTTGGTATTCGAGTAACCTACAATTACTTATTTTCCAAGTTTTTTCTTCAGATATTTTGTAGACTTATTTATGCTAGAAGGTTTCAGGTTTTTCTTTGTACTATCGGTTCAATTTGAAAAATGCAAAGATAATGTATTCAGGCTTACGTTTGTTTCTAAATAGTGTATAATATTAAACTTTTAATGATGATGCTCTCAAAAATTAGAATTCGAGATTTAGTGTTCGCTGCGTGCAAACGTAGGAAGGCCCTAATGCTGGAGGGGCAACGTCAAGACCCTGAAAAACGTTGCTTCGTCTAAAGCCAGTCATAGGTTTTGAAAGCATGAGAATTGCTTATCGGCATTCAATCAAGAAAGATATTCCACAACGGTTGACCGATAACGTTGTAAACTGACTCATTTTTTTCTTGGACTTCGATTCAAGCTACGTATGCTGTGTAGCTTTCAACTATTCTGGAGCATGCAACGAGTTAATAATTTTGTAGTTCAGTTAACCTTACCTATATTCGCCCCGTAGCCGATGATCGAGTAGGACTTTCCGGACCCGGACTGGCCGTAGGCCATCAAGGCGGCATTGTAGCCTTGCCATGCACTCTGCACCACGTCTTGACCGATCTCTTTGTACACACGCTCCTGAAATTGAGAGCACGTACCCTCCCCAAATCAAAGACTGTGGAGATTATCGTTTACTTGCTTGTGATGCGGAAACGAGAAAGCCCAACCGTGTTGTTCAATACGCAAAAGGCAATCTAGGCAACATGTAAATTGCGACTTGGCTGGATTGTCCTTAGCTATTGGAATAAGAGGCAAGCTTTTCAGAACCACATGCTGTAATATTCGCAAGTTATGAGATTTTCCTAGGTGTTGAATTTTGCCATGGCGTTTCGTTTTACCAAAATACTCAATTTATCTTAATGTATTAGCGGACTCGGTTGGCTTCCATCTTCTCGATAAAATTTCCCAAGTTATAGCGTAATAATGAAAAATGTTGAGATTTTAATATTTTTGTTTTTATCCCGGCAATACTTTGTTGCCGAATTCGAGATTTCGGCTAAATATTGTTTAGTTTTGCGAAGCGGAAAATTATATCTATGAAGCAAAGACATTGGTAAGATGGTCCCAAACAAAGTGACTCTGAAGAATATAAATTCAGACACGGACGAGGTAGTCCTAGTAAATGGTTTTGAAGTTCTGGACAATTTGAAGGGTTTTATTTTTTCTTTTGTAAATCAATGTGAAGCTTTTGTTTTGTTTCTAACGTAAGCTTTACCTATTTTACTGTGTTGAAACAAATTGTGATGACTTTTCCGGAGACGACTCGCCCCTCTACCAAATATTTTAAAATCTCGAATTGTTGGCTTGCAACATCACTCCATTTCAATTTTTAGAAACACAATTAAGGTCAATTAAGTGTAAAAAGTGTTAAAGGGTATAAAAATCCTCGATCAAAGGTCAGTATAGGCCAAGGTAAATTGTTGGCTCTTTAAAGGTGAAGGCTAGGTCCTCCCGAGAGCCAGGTAGCGTCACTCAACCGGGCATGTAATATTAATTGCGTTCTGCTTAATCATACTCATTTTTGTCCACCATTTTTTACCAACGATCATATAACTTAGGTTAAAAGCTACCAAGTGAGACTAGAAAAATAGTATTAATGACAGAATGAATTAATCTAGGCACTAAATTGGTTTACCAGTTAAATGGACAAAAATACCAATGCCACATATTCAAGTAGTCTTATGTGCTATAAGTGCACGTTTAGAATTTCGCATGTTTTCCTTTCTGCTTGTCCCAAATACTATGCTCTAGAACGTTTTGAATATTATAGCATTTTTTACCTAATATTTGTATTAACTATTTCGGTCAACATTTTATTTCCTACGCGTTTAACTTGTATCAAGCGTAGATAATTAACAAATTTACAAGCAAGGAAATAGTGCCAAAAACTTTAATAGGGATCATTTGTCCAAAATAATTTCGTCCAGTTCCCACAAAAATGCTGTTCCAATTTTTATGATAACACTTGTGTATCTCCTTCGTGGGTTTCAACTTAGCACGGGCCGTTCTGAAAGCTACAACCCCGAACCATAGACATCGCTATGTCTCGCCGCATGTATACAACACTACCCAGACATATTTCAGACCTGTTTACTGCCTCATTTTTTGCTATATAGTGTCATCATATTCAAAGGCGCCAAACTCTTCGTTTGGGCTCGGGGACAACGCCAAGTGTCAGTCGAGGCGTCTCTTAAGCACAAGCCGAACCGAATGCTAACATAGCACTCATGTCGAGTTTATGTTGACAGTCGGTCATATATCATAGAGAGTTTTAGGAAACCGTGTTTGCACACCCAATACGGCACGATGGCCCTTAGGTAAGAACTGCCCATATGCAAGTCTTAGCTGGTATCGCATCCGCAGATCGTACCGTATCGAATGTACAAAAACGGTTTCCTAAAACTCCATTAAAATAGAGGTGTTCACGATACTCCTTATGCTTTATAAAGTCTGTCTATACTATAGTAAGAGGAATGGCAGATATTTTGATTATAAGACGCCTGATTGTTTTCATTATCTTGTAAGTGGTCCCCTTCAGGCTAATCAATAAGAAAGTTTGTTTATGCGCCCCTGATTAACATTGATATATTGTGGTACAGAATCAAAAGCTTTCGAGATATTTGAGGCCATTAATCTCATATTACAGCGTGACTCTACTTACATAAGTGCCCCATTACTTCAGCTTTCTAAAAATACTCGAATTTATTGTCTCCAAGCTTTGATACATGCATATAGATATATATATATATATATTGTGTGTGTTTTGCTTTTCAATTGATTTTAGCTGTTTGTTGAGCGTTCGAGCATCTTCTTGTAGCCGTGTCTTTCATCGCTTTCTGATGTTTAAGCTGAGGACACAATCTGGTGGCTAAATCCTCACGACAGCGTTGATTGAAAATCAATTTCAGTACCGCACTCACTGTAATGGTACCCAGTTTTCCTGAGCTTTGCATGCCTCAGACACAAAAAAGCGTGCCTCTCACCTGGTCTGCATAGACGCTGCCCCTCTCGTGCTCTGGATCTGGAGCGCAGTATCCATCGTCGAGTTTCAGGAATCCGTCGTGAGACCAGAAGCAGTGGTCGAAGTGAAAGCTCTTCGCCTCGGACGAAGAAACCCCGTGGCTTCCGGAGTTTGGTACCCGGAGCTTGGTTTCTCGATCGCGCATGTGCACCAGGCATCGTAGACCTCGTTGTTGCTCACGCTCGGTGTGGGGCGTTGCGGTTAAGGATTTTGTTTCCAGCTATAAAGTGTGGCAACGCGACAGGCGAACAACATACAAATATCCCAGTTCAAGAGTTCTAACGCCGAAACTGCTTTTATTTGTTCAGTAAACGTAGAATCAAGTCAGCGATTACTTTATATGCCAAGCAGTGGACCACGCGACATGCTCGAATAGCGAATGGGCCAATTTGCTACCGTCACTGACTTACCACGTAATTCATACTTGGGCGTTCTTATCGGTTGATGCCGTAACTCACTGGCTGAGTATCGATAATATCGCGCTTGGGACTCGCTACGCCCCGCGTTCCTTAAACTGTCACCAACTATTGGCGGTGTTTGACTCCAAAAGGGGGCGCACGGCTCCAAAGACAGTCTTCGCGTTACATGCCATAGTAATGTGATGCCCGCTCCGACTTCTTCTAATACGCCCTCAGTGCGTCTGGCCGCGTCTGCACCTACCTGCGGATGTGCTTCTCGATCTCGCTCCGAAGTAAACGCTTGGTAGCGCGAAAATCGAACACCTATACCGCGTCAAACGGTGATTTGTGCGTGTTTTCACGTCGTTCAACACGCGGGAGTTTCAATGAGCTCGGGTTGAGTCGTGTCCCCCGCAGTTGTAAGCGGCAACGACGGCAACACACCGCCATGTTCTTTTTTTTTTTTTCTTTTTTTCAAATATTTTTTTTTTTTGAATATGTCACTACAAAGTGGGCGTGTAGTCACCAGCGTCAGTAATTGATACTATCTTTGTGGGAAGTATTTTTCGCTCCTTTTAATATCAAATTGTTTTTCGCTCACTGGCAGATGGACTAGACCTACTTGGAATTGGATGATCCGCGTGTTTTTGTCGGCGTATAGAGAGGAAATCGGTTTGCACAATTTGCGAGAATTGTATAAAAAACAGTTATCACCGACTCCTCGAACGTTTTGTATAGCAGAATGCTCAGATAAGTTGAGGTGGATTAGAAACTAAGGTTGACTGCTACACACCATGTCTACACGAAATACTTCTGCTAAAAGCGGCAGCGCGGCGCCTCTGTATTGTGCCATGCTTCACAAAGGTGATGAGAAATATATATTTTTTGTTATACTTGTGCCCGATATTCTTGGTGACAACAATACCTTCGGAGTTGTAAAAAGTCAAAATGAAGTACACATTTTTTTCTTGTTTTTTTCTGAGACAAGTTCCAAGCACCCGGCAGTAGTATTCGCGATGTAACCCTTATGAACGACAATACGGTAGACTCGTCGGCTGTTATTATTTACTTTGGCTCTCGGTCTGAGAAGTACCAGATTTGTGTAAGCGCTTCTTTTCGCTCGTTCACGTGACTGGAAGTTCGCAACGTGAAGGACTTAAAAAGTCCCCCCCCCCCCCCACAAAAAAAAAAAAAAAAAAAAAAAATATATATATATATACATATATATATATATATATTTGTTTTAAACAGTCAGATTCCGACAGCCTTGTCAAGAAAAAAAATTTGGGCGAAAAAGAAATTTAGAGCAATATTGATGGCGAGAGATTTATCTGAAATTCTGCGCGGAAATTTGATGACATCAAGGGCCATTTTGGCATGACCATCTCGGTCGTAAAGGCGAAGCCGACCCACCCCTTCTCGACGCGCCCAAAATGCCGAGAGAGAAAACAAGTGGAAAGGAGGGGACTGCCGACTAAATCGCGGCTCGCGCCGCCAATATTGCTGTAAACATTTTTTTTTTCGCGTCAAATTACTTTTTTTACACGCGTGTCCCAACCAAACTGTTATTTTTTTTTTTCAAGGCCCTTTAAGACGCAGTATTGGATAGGAGACGTCGAATCATGTGCCGAAATTTGTGTTTCAAACTGTTCCGGCAATTTGGTCAATTATCTCCGCATTAAATGGCTGTGAATGACGCTGGGCAGTGTTAAAATGACGCATAATGTTGTATATGTGACGAAGTTATCGATGCAACAGGAAAGGTTGCCCCAGCATATTTTGCGCGCATCTGCAAACCCGACACAAGTAAAAACGCCACGCTTAGAATTGTGCAAAAATATTTCCACAGTTGACTTGTAGTAACAGCTCATTATGCAATGAAACAACGCAGCGGCGTCATCTCGTTTTCTACAAAAGCAAGATATTCACTTGCGAAGAATAAAAGCACTACAGCTGCATAACTTGCTGTTATGTTTTCTCAATTAAATGGTTCCACAATGTAGGATATCATTTTCACGGGGCCTATCATAGGCCAGAATGACGCAGTCCCTCATGTTGCAAAACATTTCATAGGCAATACTCGGGTAGATCATTCAACGTCACTATCATGTTTTGTTGAAACAGTGTTTACTTTGTTTCAAAACGAAGGGGCGGTAGTTTTTTTTCTAATATTCAATACACTCATATACAGAAACAAATGAATACTACTGGTGTGCTAAAAGCACTAAATGCTAAGGGACTCATATGATATCGACAATGAATAAATACACTCTTGACTTGATCTGTTCGAGGCACCAGTGCGACAACGTGGCTCATTTAAAGAAATGCTAAGTAATTACATGCAATAATAGCTAGTCATAAACAAAGTTGAATTAGTAGAGAACCATAATACTCCAAAATTAAGTAGGAATTACGCTACCACGTCCCCTACAATTCCCATTTACATTGCAACTGGCAGGCTTGAAAAAGGTCAAGAATGCTACCTTTGGCAAATCATGTTTCGGTTTGATGTTATACGAGCTGAGCTGACCCAACACGCTCTACCATAAATTTCTGTTTGTTTCTTTTGTTATTTTGCATGTCAGAATAACGTATTGTCTGGAAGGAACGACTTAAATATAATCTCTCGTGGACGTCATTAAATGATATCGTTATTTCTTTTTGCATTTATTCGAACAGACAATCAGATCCTCATGCCACAGCGGCCGAATAATAGGAAGTTCTAGAATAGCGCCCGCTAAAGCTTTGCGTATGCAAAGAATCGTGTCGTCGCCACTACAAATGCGCCGAACGCTAACTTCGGTTTACGCTTTGCGCAAGCTAATTTAGCGTACGCTATTTCTCGGAAATTGCGTGCGTACGTAAAATAGTCTTTGTGGTCCTTCTAGGAGGTTTCGTGATGGGAAGTTGGCTAAAGTCAAGATGAGCAGCATTAACAAAATGGCGGCTCGCAGTACGATGGCTGCGGCCGCTCTGGCGTCGTCGTGAGCGCGACGCCGGCGGCACCTTCGCGACTGCGATTTTCAATGCGGGACGGCATTGCACTTGGTTTAGAAAACTGAGTAAGTTGGGCAACAATCACCGGCAACCTGATGCTTACGACGCGTGAACATTTCTCGGCGAAGGTACGTTGTTCGAAGGTGAGTGCACGAGATCGCTCTTGCCGAGGAGACGCAAGCGGACACGACCGGTCGACCGCTGGCGTCGTATTTTTATGTTTAAACAAATCTAAAATGTTACTCTGGACCAAAAATCTTGTTTTTTTCTCAAGTTACAGCATTTCGTGTATGAAATAAAAATTGTGACTATATCTTGGCGGAGTTGTAAGAGCGAGATGCTTGGGCTTTTGCGTCGCGGCGGAGAAAGGCTATTCTAAAACTCTCTTGCGTACCCTGCGTTAACGTAAGTGTTAAATTTAATGCTAGCGTGCGCTAAACTCACGTACGTTAATCTAAAACTTCATACTCTGCTCTTAGCTTTCAGGAAGGCGAATAATATTATTTGACTTTAGGACTAATATACTCTGACTTTAGTCACTAGTGCGCGAATACATTCCCCTTTACGATGTGAGTTACCTTTTGGCTCTGCCTCCATATGTCCGGTGACCAAGCCCACATTCCCCCTTGTTCGAGCACTTATTGACTCCTACAACGTCTCCCGCGCCTCAGCAGATACTGCCCACCAGTCTAGGACTATTTAAATGCCGTCACGCAAAGAGCACCGAGTACGGCATGCCCCGCTTGCCTCCAGTTGAACATCCGTTAAGGTTCGCAATGCCGTACCAAGCCGAGGGTTCTCGCCACACAAGCACCGAGGCGTTCGTCCGTGTCATTTATTATATACGCGTGATATTGTCGGCAGGAGCGAGAGGGGCGGGACACAAAGGGGTCGGGCTGGCTCTATAGGGACATAGCAGACCGGGGGGGGGTCTGGACAGTTTTGATATGACGGTCTTCACTTAGGATCATGAATTATAAGGGGTGTGCTTGCGGTTAAAACAAAAAAGGGAACAGAAGATAACAACAAAGCGTCGCGGGCGTCGAAGTCAACGTAATGCCTCGTTCACACCTGCGAACCGGCGGCCAGATCCGCGAGGACTCTAATGCCCGGCGACGAAAGCAGGCAGAATTTCCGGCGGAGAGCAATATTGCTCTGGGACCAATTCTGAACGCAGGAAAAAACGTTCTCTCGCCGCAAGCCAATCAGAACGCACGGGGCAAGTGGCGCTTGCTGACGTCAGATCCCCGCTGACGAGCTGGCGACGATGGCGACGAGACGCGCGTGGGCAAGGAGGAGGTTCGGGAGCTCTCGTCAGCTCCTCGTCTGTTCGGGAAACTGCGAGACGCTCGCGCCGCGCATTCCGCAGGCGGCAACAAATGTGAACCGCCCGATCTTTTTTCGGCGAGCGAATCCAGTCGGCGGCGAGTGCGTATTTCGCAAGTGTGAACGAGCCATAACAGCAGGATTGAGCGCTGAGGCGAGACTGACTGCGGCTCCCCACGCGGAGCCCCTTATGTACTATCGGGGAAAAATGAAATGCGAACAGAGGAGCGCGTGGCTCGCGGTACAGGCTGCGCCGCCTGGAAGTGAGCCTAGGAGCGAGGGTGCGTGGCCTACTCCGACGAGTTCACGCCCCTCCCTCTGCGCTCCCCAAGCTTCAGCAGAGCGCCTCTTAGTGCGCTGAAAGCTATCACCGCTCTCTTTGCTGGCTCAGCACGTGCGGTGCAAAGAAGCTCGCCGCACTCGCCGAGCAGGCAAAGATAGCGGTGACAGCTTTCAGCGCACTAAG